TGACACATGTCAAATAATAACCAGAAATATAAAACTACTCCTGAGTTGGGTAAATACCACAATTTTGCGGTGATAACTATGACATATAACAGCTGATTCATGACGTCACGGATCTTATAACCAAACTGATAACCACACTCGCTTGAACAGATCGGTAAATACCAATCCAAAATGGTAAGTACCATTTTCATTTGGTTATCCGCTTGAATTTGATTATCGTTGACCTTTCTCAATATGTACGTAAACAGGATACAGACTCATATCAATGAGTCTCATTGAAATGTTTTTTTAGCCTAGAAGATACATGTTTATTATTAAATGAAAAGGAAAGCAGTTTGAACATTCATTGTGAATTTAATAAGTAGAGTAAAGTTGGTGAATGTGGAATACTTTTCATTTGAAGCCTATAATTCCATACTAATTTGAGGCATTCAAATAAATCAAGTAGTTCCGATATCTGTGAGGTTCTGTCAAGTCGCTGGAGTAATTTACTTCGCATATTCCGAGTCCATGCATTTGCAAAAATGAAATTATGCGAAGCGTGTAATATGTAGCCATGGAAAATTAGTATGGTAATGTGGAATATGCTACTGAATAGTAGAATAACATATGATTTTCTGACCAATTGTGTTCTTTTATTTCTTTGGAAGGCATTTTCTGAAATAAAAAGTCACAGGTAGTCCAAAACATAAACAAATTCAGTATCCTTAATCAGTAGGCCCGGTAATGTGGAACACTCGTATGGTTGATGTTTGGAAATATTCCACAATACCATTCCACCCTCACTTAATCTCAAGTTTATAGCTAGAATCTATAAACATAGTTTTGATAATTAATTCACACATAATTTGATAATGGATGTATCTGAGGCTTAACAACAAATAGTAATTATTAGAACATAGTTGTACTTTTCCTAGAAATCCAAAAAAATGGCAGCCAGTCCAATGTTTCAATATTCACGTTTACCGGTTTCACCAACTTTTTTGAGGTTATGCTCCTTAATCGATAAAACAGCTTGCATTAGATAGTTACGCTACTGATACAAGAGTAAATAATGCATGGAACTGCAGGTGTCGCTACTGGTTTTGGAGATATCTGACTATTTCACAATATAAGTCAACGCCAAACAAAGTGGCGTGCACGTCATCACGATAAAAATTCCCCGACCTAATGCCTAGGTTTCTATCACAAACAATTGCTCTATTGCAGTTTCATATTAATGTGATATATAAATTGTAAAATGGTCATTACTCTCTTATTATGGTTAATAGTCATATAAACATTGTTATTAAAATATCACATAAGCTGCTTTCTGATAAATTTAGACGCATTATGCGAAATAAAATGTTTTGCAAAGGCTCCAATCACTTATCGACATGTAAACGCACTAAACCGATTTCGCAGCGTTGACACATTGTCACCTTGAAACTTATTTAAACTGGGAACTGACATTTGTATTAATTTTGACACTGAATCAATTTGTGGCATTTCAAATCTTTATAAATCCTTTGGCCCCGCATACTGTAAATCAACAACTGTTTGTTTCAAAACAAAATTATTCATTTTACGAGTAGATAAAGGCAATTTTGGTATATAAAGATGCCCAAACAGTTAAATAGTCGGTGTAAGGAACTCGTGGCCTCGTTAATGCACTACTTTGAGCAAGAAAGGGACAACAACGGGCCTTTGTTGCCTTTAAATGCTGTTCAAGAGGTAGGTTACTAATAATTATATGTAATGTATATTAATAATAGTGAAATTTTATTTCATTTTTTGTAGCGTGTTGCTGCTGCTTTAAAAATTAGTTTAAGGACAGTTAGTCGTATTTCCGAGGGTGTGAAAAGTGATGCAAATTTAGAATCGCCCAAGAAAAAGCGGAGTTATATTAAACGTGTAACCAACACAGCGACATTGGATACAAGTGCCATTCGAGAAGTGATCTATAATATGTATCACAAAAGTAAGATCTTATTATAATAACTTATCAGAAATTTGCATTAATTTGTTAACTAAATTATAATGTCATATTACACATGGTTTCAGAAGAACAAGTTACGATACAAACTTTATGGTCTCGATTAAGAGATAGGGCATTATTTGATGGTAGTGCCACGTCTTTAAGGCGGTTGCTTAGAGATCTTGGATTTAAGTGGCTTAAGGACAATCCGCGACGAGGGCTCATGGAACTACCAAGTATAGCTTTGAAAAGGGTGGAATTTCTAAGGCAATACAATCAAGCCAAGGTTGAGGCCTTATACCAGTTTGTCTTCCTCGATGAAACTTGGATATTTCAAAATGGGACCATAGGTCGCTCTTGGCAAAATGGAAACCAAAAAAGCGTGAAAGCTATTAAAACAGATAGTAAAAGGTATGTACTTTTACACAATTTGCACTATAAAATTTAAAACTAATATATTTTAGATACATTATATTACATGCTGGAAATGAAAATGGGTTTATTGAGGGTAGTGAAGCGATATTTTCTTCGAAAACAAAATTGAGCGATTACCATGGACAGATGAACCAGGACAATTTTTTGAAATGGTTTCAACATCAGTTATTAGAAAAATTGGAGAGTCCATCTATGATTATACTGGATAACGCCCCTTATCACAGCATGATATTGAACAAAGTGCCCAACAATGCATGGACAAAAAAAAATATCCAAGACTGGTTGACAAATCAAAACATACCATTTTTAAACACAATGTTTAAAACAGAGCTATTGAGTATTGTTGCTCGGTACATAATGCTTCTTAATTATATATATTTTGGTCGAGAGTTTATATTTCTTTTGTTTATTCCTATTCTTAAAATAACTGCTTTTTTAGAAACAAACCACCTAAAATATACGTGATTGATGAATTGGCGGAACAACATGGGCACAAAGTTCTTCGTCTGCCTCCTTACCATTGTATATTTAACCCTATTGAGTTAATTTGGGGCATAGCAAAAGGTTACTATAACAGACATATTGGTAGAGATGGTAACAGTGAAAAAGACTGTTTGGATATGTGGAACGAGGCTCTACAAACGGTTACCCCAGACATGTGGAAAAATAGTGTTCGACATACTGAGCAAGAAATTTTTAAATGGTATGAAAGAGAACGAATTTTTGATCGACCAGACATCGAACCTTTAATAATCAACTTTGAGAGTGATGAAGATTCAGATTCAGACAGCGCTGAAGAAAGAAACTCCGACTAACTTTATTGTACAGAAAAAGCTTACACCAGTAGCTTACCTAATTTTAGAATGCATTTTTCTGTATGAATTCTGTAAAATAAATACCATGCATAAAATTTGGAGGACCCCATTTGGATTTTTATTCAGTACCTTTAAGCTATCAATTAAATATGGTAGTTTCATAGTGTCATCTGATCAATAATTGTCATACTTAATGATTATGCAAGTACAGATCTATAATTTTATTATACTATTATTTTTGTTCTCATTTGAGGTTAATATTGCTTATAAACCTAGATATGTAAATAATAAATTTTATTATTTTACAAAAAGTTTGGCAACAATGTAAATTTTTCAACACACCCACCTTGATGACGTGCACGCCACTTTGTTTGGCGTTGACTATAGCTGCCTATTCCACATTCACCAACTTTACATTCACGAATTAATAAAAGTGGCGTAATCAAATCCAAGCGAATAACCAAAATTTCTGTGTTATGTGCCGCGGTTATAATATGGTTCAAGATGACACACGGGTAGATGACGTCAGTTACACGAATCGCTTGAACGCGTTGGTTTTAACCGCGGTTTTGTTGCAAGTTGTTTATTTTAGAAAAGCGCGTATATAATCTCTGATTATTTTTATTATCACTTAATAATCGGTGCTTTTTCGTCTACAACTGTATATGGAAAGTTTAAATAAGAAACCTTTCATAATATCCATGGGAGAAATGTTTTTTTCAGATTTTTTTTTAATGATGGAACCATGGCTTTGTAGCTATGATAACTTTCAATTCTCTAAATTTTTCCGCATGTCAAAGAAAACATTTATTGATTCAGCAGAAATGATGAAAAAAGAAATTAGCAAAACCGTATACAGGTGGATATCATCTAGTGAGTTTATATGGCCATATTTTAATATTCTTGTGGTATATGGCTACACAGGATACTTTGTTAAGCATAGGAACTACATTTAAAGTGTTCCCAACAACCGTAATGAGTATAACTAATAAGGTGCTCCACTTTATGGTAAAACTGAAGTCAGCCTGTATCAATTTTCTCAAAAATGAAGCTGAAGTACAATAACAATATCCAATACCCGGCAAAATTCTAACTTGTCACATTTCAAATAATAACCAAAAATATAAAACTACTCTTGAGTTGGGTAAATACCACAATTTTGCGGTGATAACTATGACGTATAACAGCTGATTCGTGACGTCACGGATCTTATAACCAAACTGATAACTACACTCGCTTGAACGGGTCGATAAATACCAACCCAAAATGGTAAATACCATTTCCATTTGGTTATCCGCTTGAATTTGATTTCTGTCTTGCTGTCACTACATAGAACGATACTGTCAAATGAAATTTGTAATAATGGAAATTAAAAGATCATCACAGAATGTAGATTTTCTCGATTTTTTTAAAGCCTATAATCTGGAAAGTACACGACTAATTTTTTTTTATATTTGATTGATAGCTATTATGACTTAACCTGTCCCCAGTTTCCGGCTTGTCGTCGACTTCTGGGACACTCTTAGCTCCTCCGCCACGAGGCCGATATTTAAACACTAAAAAGTATTTTCATCCTTGGCATAGTAGCAACCTTGTGTGGAAATATCAAAATCCGAACAGTTCTTTCCAAGTTATATACGGGACCAGGATTAGCGGACCGAAACATATCTCATTTTCGAAATTTTTCGCGATTACAATACTTCCTCGCCAGCGGTGACGTAGGAAGCTAAAAGACAAACTGCTAAATATCTTTCTTCCACTCACACTTTTGTGAAAATTTATTTTTCTTACAGGCTTGGCCATATTTCCTCCTATTCATGCTGATAGAAAACATACTTCTTATTATCGAAAACAGGCCACTTTATCGACTGAATGACACTATTACCAGCTTATCACATGGGCTAATAGAACATAGTGGAAAGTAAGTATAATGTGGTCTTAAGCACAAATGTTTCGTGCTATGTTACAGATAATTTTTGTTGCTAAAGACTCATTATTAAGTAAATAAACAATTCGAGATAAAATATACAAAAAAGCTATATTGTTCCGTTTTATCTAAGCTTTTAATTACATGACTTGTGGATTTATGACAGCTTATATATGTCAATACTCTCAGAGATATAAATCAAATCCAAGCGAATAACCAAAATTTCTGTGTTATGTGCCGCGGTTATAATATGGTTCAAGATGACACACGGGTTGATGACGTCAGTTACACGAATCGCTTGAACGCGTTGGTTTTAACCGCGGTTTTGTTGCAAGTTGTTTATTTTAGAAAAGTGCGTATATAATCTCTGATTATTTTTATTATCACTTAATAATCGGTGCTTTTTTGTCTACAAAGGTGTATGGAAAGTTTAAATAAGAAACCTTTCATAATATTCATGAGAGACATGTTTTTTTTCAGAAAAATTTTTTTAATGATGGAACCATGGTTTTGTAGCTATGATAACTTTCAATTCTCTAAACTTTTCCGCATGTCAAAGAAAATATCTATTGATTTAGCAGAAATGATGAAAAAAGATATTATCAAAACCGTATACAGGTGGACATCATCCAGTGAGCTTATATGGCCATATTTTAATATTCTTGTGGTGTATGGCTATACAGGATACTTTGTTAAGCGTAGGAACTAGATTTAAAGTGTCCTCAACAACAGTAATGATTATAACTAATAAGGTGCTCTCTTATGCTAAAACTGAAGTCAGCCTCTATCAAAAATGAAGCTGAAGTACAATAAAAATATCCAATACCCGCCAAAATTCTAACTTGACACATGTCAAATAATAACCAGAAATATAAAACTACTCCTGAGTTGGGTAAATACCACAATTTTGCGGTGATAACTATGACATATAACAGCTGATTCATGACGTCACGGATCTTATAACCAAACTGATAACCACACTCGCTTGAACAGATCGGTAAATACCAATCCAAAATGGTAAGTACCATTTTCATTTGGTTATCCGCTTGAATTTGATTATCGTTGACCTTTCTCAATATGTACGTAAACAGAAGAGATACAGACTCATATCAATGAGTCTCATTGAAATGTTTTTTTAGCCTAGAAGATACATGTTTATTATTAAATGAAAAATCAAACTTTTAATTCAACGTATTGGAGTTTTTAAAAGCCTTCGTATAAATCTTACTCCGATTATTTGGCTCATTGAAATTTAATTTTTTCATTTCCAGACTTTTATTTAGAGCTGGAGAAAGTTATGCCTACTTCTACATCTACCAACATTTCAAACTGATGGAGTTACCGTGGAATCGACCAATAACATGGTATCTAGCTGCTATTGGTGTAGATTTTTGCTACTACTGGGTCCATAGAGCTTGTCATGGTAAGCAATCCAGTTCACCTAAAGGTGATTAAGGATAATTTAACAATCGAAATGTAGCGGATTTAAGAAAAACAATATCGAGACTACAAAACTCTGAAAAACGACAGATGAAATCTATGCATTTACTTCATTTTTGGTTTGAAAGGGGCCGTTCAAGTATTACGTGAGCACTACGAGGGTCTTTGCTTTGCTTATTTTGGATGACATGGGGGGTAGGGGAGTCTAGATGATGATTACGTCATCGGTAGTTATTTACTTTTTTACACGAATGGCAACCCTCACATTGTCTTTGCTTGAAAACGAAACGCATTTTCGTGGATTCCCGCAAATAATGCATCCGTTTAGTGAACAGCGCGCGGTTATTCCCCTACTCGCTTTAGAACCGAGTAGGGAAATTACCACGCGGTGTTCACTTGTCTAAATTTCCTCTATCAGTGTATTGTTTCCTTTGGATACTATAGCGAGTAGACGTATTGAAAGCATAGTAAAGCAAGTTAACATTTGTGTTACCATTGATTCCATTAGCCAAAGTGTAATGTTTAAATAAGATCTCGTTTCACATAGACAAATCCAAGTTATACCAAAAATTGTTTGAAAGTTTAAAAAAATCTCATATAATTACGAAAGTACAAAATGTACAAAAGTGGCGAAATTACAAATTACAAGCAAAATCCAACAAGGAACTAGATATTATTGTATCTAAGAGAATCGAAGAAGAATTGCAAGAGGCGACTAAGAATAAATCAAATTTACTAATTTTTTTTTCTAAGGTGAGTGACGAAATCATTTTAGATACCTATGAGTACTAGAAATATTAGAAATCGCCAAAAAGTTTCTCTTTACTGATTAGAAAATATTATGGCCTATCTCAAAGTACAGAGGTAATATTCATTATATTATAGATTATAGATCTTATGATTGATTCCGTCAATTGGTCACAAAGTACTGGATGTTAGGTTTATACATATATACAGAAAACTAACGTCACTATTTTGTGACCGGAACGAATTGCTCGTTTAAACATATTAGATTTAAAGCCATAGGGTTTTGTATTTACCATATATATTGCCATACTTTGTATTTACGTAACTTAATAAGAGAATCTGTAGCAGAAGCCATAGAAAGTTTTCATTTTTAGGCAACCTGTAAACCTGCAGAAAAAACACAAATTATACAGTCAGCTTCAAATATTAAAAAAGAGGAAGAAGACAAAATAAAACCCGGTAATGAATCACAACAGCAATGCAAAATTAATGAAAATACAGATAAACAGAGAGCAAAACCTTCTCAGGAAGCTATGAAAAATAAGATTGCTCTACTGGAAAAAAATCTGAGTGCTTTGTATTCTGCCAGAGATACTATGCCAAGCCATGCTGAAGTTGATAAACAGATCATTAAGTTGCGCGAGGAAATAAAAATAGCAAAACAGTCTTTAAACAGGAAGGTTCAAAACGCAGTTGCCCAGAAGAAACACAGGGATGGTATGAAAAGAAAGTTAGAAGATATTTGTCATGAAAATCCAGAAATAAAGAAAAGACTATCTCTGAGGGATTCAGTGGGACGTCCTAATTGAAAGTAATCAACATTCACTATTGAAAATAATCGCGGATATAGCTTTATTTCGGCGTGCAGCAGATGATAGAAGACGAACGGAATCAATTCGCAGCGTAAAAACTCTTGATGAACTCACACAAGAATTACGTAAAATAGGATTTGACATTAGTCGCAGTGGGACATATCTTCGTTTGATTCCCAGAAAATCTAATTCTGCAGAGGCACGAATACATGTATCGACAGTCCCTGTTAAGCTCGTTCTTCGGTCTCAAACTGATCACCACAAGAGCCACTTAGATAGCAAGTTCGCTAAAACATCAATCCATTATTTAGAGAACATAGCATCCATACTCGGACCAGATCAAGTATTTTTCATATCTCAAGATGATAAAGCTCGAGTCCCTATTGGAGTAACTGCGGCAAATAAGCAAGCACCTCTTCTAATGCACATGGAATATAGAATCAAATTGCCTAATCACGATTGAGTAATCGCTGAGGGTCATAAATTAATACCATCTGTTTATGCTGGTATCAAAATCACTTCCAACATGCTAGGACAACCGCAAGCCGATGGATATTCTGGACCAACATACATCGCTATTCGACGTGGAAAGCATAGTTTATCTACTGCTAATACTCATGCTCAGGATTTCGAGACGCTTCTCGAACTTGAAGAGTTTCGACCATTAGCTAAAACTGACCATGGACTAGTAAAACCAGTGGTAATCATGACGGTTGATGGAGGGCCAGATGAAAATCCACGTTATCAAAAAGTCATAGGGTTTGCTATACAACACTTTAAGCGATATGATCTCGATGCATTATTTTTAGCCACCAATGCTCCTGGAAGAAGTGCGTATAACAGAGTAGAGCGCAGAATGGCTCCTCTTAGTCGGGAACTGGCTGGTTTAATATTGCCTCATGACCATTTTGGGTCTCATTTGGATGAACGTGGCGGCGTTACAATTGATGAACATTTAGAAAGATCTAATTTCGAATTTGCAGGAAATCTATTAGCTGAAGTATGGAGTTCAATGGAAATTGATGGCTATAATGTTAATGCAAAATATGCCGGGGTAGGTGAACAATATCTTCCTGATTTTCCAGACATTAAATGGTTTTCAGAACATGTGCGTGAGAGCCAATACTTGCTTCAAATTGTAAAATGTAGAAATACAGAATGCTATCGTCCAAGAAGTGGTCTATTTAGATTACTAGACAACAGGTTTCTTCCAGCACCTGTAAAAGTAAAACAAACAGTTGATGACTTGGTTTTGGATGAAGGAGGGCAATTTCTTAATCTTCCAGTCAATTTAGCTCTACGCTTAAGTGCTTCACTCAAAGATTTCCTGCAAATGCCCTACGATTATTTTTGTCCGACGGTAAAATTGAGGCTATCAAGTCGAACATGCAAAACGTGTGGTCTTTATCATGCTTCCGTCAAGTCACTAAATCGTCACATCGAAAATATCCATAAAAAGTAAACACGCACACTGATAGGAAAGTTAGACCTGTAAGTCGCTGCTCGTCGTGCTAATGAACTGATGTGCATTATTAAAAATTTAGAGCACCATGATGTTCAATGGCTCGATGAGAACGACGTAGACATTCCAAAATCCGATGAAAGCGAGCAAACTCACAACACTGAGCAGCAAACGAAGCAATCCAACGTCATCGAAAACTTAGAATCATGGATTCAGGTTTCATGGACTGAAGACTGTTAATTTGAATTTAATATATGTACCAAAAATTTAAAATAAGTTTGTTATGTTGGTAAGATATAACATTTTTGTCCTTTACTCTATGTTGAATACCGTATCAGTAAAATATAATCTCTATCCTAAATCTATTTTCTTATTTTTCAAATTATAATTATAACGTTATAATTATAATATTGAAAAAAAAAACAATACATTAATTGACAAATATTTACGTAAGCATGGGGGGAGGGGGTAAGAGCTTTGCTTACTTTTGCTGACAAGGGGGATGGATGGGTAAATAATTGTAATAAATCTGCTTACGTAATACTTGAACGGTCCCAAAGACAAAATTTGAAATACATCTACTTATATCCTTAATAAATTAATGTATTATAGATTTCTTTTGATGATTGCAGAGGTCCACATCCTTTGGGCGCAACATCAAGTACATCATAGTTCAGAAGAATTCAATCTAGCTGTAGGTCTTAGGCAATCAATTCTTCAAGGATGGTGTGGATTTGTAAGTATTTCGCATTGATGTTTTCGATATCTACTATTTTTCAATTTAGTTCGTGTTTAGTTTTTATTCTTGAGGAAGAGCTCCTAGAAAAGTTTGAAGTTTAGCATTTGTCATTTTTTTAATTTTGTTATCCGTCTACATTGAACGTATACGCCAATCAAATGGTCAACAGACAACGTTATCATCCTAAAGCATTTGTTTCTTTTTCAGATATTTTATCTTCCTTTGGCGTTTTATATCCCGCCTGCTCATTTTATAACGCATCAACAATTCAATCTGCTATATCAATTTTGGATACACACGAAGTCTATAAAAACGCTGGGACCGCTAGAATACATTTTCAATACTCCTCAACATCATCGGGTTCATCATGGTGAGTAAAAAAAATATTGAGAATGTTATATTGAAATATGTTCAAGTATTCACGTGCGCTCTCGCCATTCTCGAAACAATTTCCAATAGAACAAAATAAGCTCACAAATGCTTTGGCGACATACCGATATATGGAATTTTTTAGGTAGTAACATCTACTGTCTGGACAAAAACTATGGCGGCGTTTTGATAATTTGGGACAGGATTTTTGGAACTTTCGCAGAAGAAAAGAAAGATGAGGAGATAGTTTATGGCCTAGTCTATAATCAACCTTCATTTAATCCTCTACATCTACAGACTTTCTATACAGAGTATGTTATCCAAAGATTCAATAGTATGACGACGTGGAGGCACAAGTTAGCAGCGATATTTTACGGTCCAAGTTGGCAACCTGGAAAACCTAGGCTTGGACTTGAGGAAGACAAAGTTAAGGTATGTTTCTAAACAATGTTATCACCGTTTTTATATACAAAACATTGAGTTAGGCAACTAAACACTATTTAAGGCAAGAATATTTTTGTTATATTGAGCTATTTTGTTACAGGTTGTACCGAGACCTGTATATGATGTGAGAATCCCTCTTTGGTGCAATATCTACCTCTTAATACACTTTTCTATTATGGTGTATGGATTTCACTTGTTGGCAGTCCATCATGTGGTAAGTTGAGATATATACTCAAAGATATTTTCTTCCAGACTCAAACATTTTTTGAAACTGAGTTTTTGGACATTTTGAGACCTCTACATTACGAAATTATGTGACATATTTCTGATTCCAGTACATGTAATCCACGCGTTAGTGATGGAGTGATGAAAAAACAAACTCAAAACCATTTTAAACTTCGCATTCATGTTTTTTGGATGGACGCTGTAGAAAATTACTGATTCAATCTATCTGACCAATTTTTTTCTTTGCAGGGCCTAAATCCACTGACGGTCCTTACATTCGTGATCTACATCATAGGATCTCTTACTGCAATCGGGATGCTGTTTGACAACAAACCCAATGCCTGCGTTTTCGAACTATGTAGATGCATGGTACTAGTTACTCTGATTCAAAGGATGCAGTTTATCAATATCAATGAAAATCTTTTGCTTACGTTTGAGATATTTTTCGTATTATCAGGCCTGTTTTGGTTCCTGCAAAGTATAAAGGTCTTGCAGATATCCTCCAAGATAAAATTACATTAGAATGACAAGTTCAAAATGTTATGTAATAGTAATTGTCCTCATTTTATTTGTGATATGCTGTGATACCTGTATAAACATTAGCTATATATTAGCTATATATGTGATTATTTATTGTATAAATATTATTTTTGTACTGTACTGTGTATAAGTTTACCTGTGAATTAATATATGTGAAAAAATGACATTGCTTTCGTTTATTTGTTATATTTTTGCGAAAGGCAGTTGTTGGCCGCCCGTATGCTACATCTGTTTCACGCAGAATATACATTGACCGTCCAATTAATTAACAATAAAAAAACAAAGGTTTACAATAACAATACCACTTTAAATGTTTTAATAATCAGGAACATTGGCAAAAAAAAATTGTTTCTCCGTATTGTGTTTTCGTGGTCGGACATGAAACTTTTTACACTCCAATTATTACATCCAGAAAACTCATCTTTAGAGAAAACTGTATAAACACTATTTTCGTTCAGACTAAAAAACTTGACCGGTGCAAAGAAGGAATGTTTTTTAACATTCATTAAAAAAATTATGTGAACAATTTGCAACGCAATTTTGAACCAGTCAACATGCAGACTTTAAAAGCATAATATTTTTCCGAGCGGACTGAGTGGGACTAATATACAGTGTGTCTCAGATTCGCTTCTCTATACAGGGATCCCGGCTCCTGTTATACCCACAGCAACGGTGAAATGAGGAAAGTTTTGGGAAAAACAGTGCATTCGATAGCCGGCTTCAGATTTACGATCGGTCAATTGGTTTTGGAAATATCAGCGAAAAACCGAAAATGGCGGAATTTGTTTTTTGCCAGTAAATCCAAAACGGTTAATTTGACAGCTGTCAAATGTGACATTATTTTTTTTAAGATAGCATGTATGACATGTCTCCATCGTCATTTGTTTTGCAGCAACCTGCATCAACTTTCATTTTTCTTATGGGCCCCATATTGGATTTTTTGATTTTTGAAAAGAGTGTAAAATTTCCAGAGTCTAGTGATAGTAAGACACCACACGCAGTGTTATGTATTAATTTTTTTCTAAGGAGGCCATGATTTATTTGTCAGAAAATAACGTTAATGAGTAAGGCATAAAAAACACATGAACGTCTTGAATTTTCAATAGAATATTAATGTTAATATCGACTTCTCAACAAGTCAAATGTTTTGGGACAAATTCCCAACTGTGAGTGTGTTAAAAAACAATTAAGAAAAATCGTTGTAAATTTATTTCACACTTGAACAAATAAAAACTTTCCTCATTGAACCTTTGCTGAAGGTGTAACAGAAGCCGAGATCGCTGTATGAATAAGCGAATCTGGAATACACCGTAGAGAAAAAAAATAAATATTTTCAATAACATGTCATTTATTAGCATAAATGCGGAAAATAACATTTAAAATAAAATTATTATATTTTAGAAAACTTTGCATTACAATATCGTTACTGAATAAAAAAATTACAATATCAACATATTTGAGACAGTAAATACTGTTTCCGCTACAAAACAGCAGACTGTAAAATAGTAGTACTGTTTTATGTTGAACAACCATATGTGACTTGAACAAAATTTTTTGTTGCTTATAATTACCGTTATAGAGAGTTTCATCTAAGCACTACATTTTTAAAGCGTTTTTATACTATCCTTATTGAAGCTTTTTTTATCAAACAGTTACATTATCACACAGCTTATTTATATAAAAAATTAGTATAGTGGCAAGAAAATATTTACAGACAATGTTACGGAACTGACTCTACTTAGTATTTATATGGATAAAGTACTGAATATGAAGCTTTACTTCATAAAATATATTTTAAGCATGATCATTTCCGTTTTGTAAAATAAAAACAAATTTTTCATTTCCATATTGTCCTGGACAGTAAATAAAACCATAAAATTTAGATAAAGCATATTGATAACGTTTCGGTTGGTGAGGCAGCCTCTTTTAAAGTAAAAGTTAAACAAGATTGACAGCATCATTATGTTCTGTGTTCCAGACGGTTGTCTCCTTGAGCCCTATGAATGGTTCCAGCCTTGGAAATTGAGTTAATGGAAGCCTAGGTGTCTCGATTGAGCCAGCCATACACACGTTTGTCTATACGGTTACACCCGTCAAATAAGTTTGACCTAAGTGCTGACCAGAGGACATACATATAACGATAATCTATCGAGATAGTATCTACAAAGGCACTATTAGAATCTATGGATATACAAAATAACGTCAGTGGTGGAATCAATGTTGACACATTTTTATCATGTTGATACAGATCTGGCTAAAGTTTCTGACTATACAATTGTAGAAAATCAGCAACAGTCTTAATTTTGTTCTGCATTTTGTGATTATAATGATATACTAACCTGTAAAATGTTATACATGACGATTTTTTGTGGTATCCACAACGCTTCATCAGAACACAAGACTCCATACCAAGTCTATTTGCTATAGTTCATGAAAAATAACGATGAAGATAGTGTAAGAAAAATAAATATTTCCAGAAACAATTGGCGGAGTTGTGCAAAACATGAATGCTTTGACAGATTTGTACTATAAAACTATCGGTCAGATGCTGTATCCCAATTTGGGATGCAGGCGATAGATCCAGTTATCAATGTTTCTATAAAGAAACATGGATGTTTACCATCAATGGTCATTTTTGCATTACACCAATGTATGGATGTTATTTTCATCAATACTCTTGAACAAATGGACAATTATTTGAAATATTTGGTAGTATTAAATGGCTACATTAAATGCATGTTTATACATATATTGTAATTACATTTTTTTATTGAAAACCGATCTCTGTAACTGACTGGAGGAAAGAAGACTGGCAGCGACTTCCTCTCTGACGAGAGACCTGGAAGTTATCATTACTTGGGAACGCAACGATCTGGTACAATTTAATGCTTCCAAAACGCAGAAGAGTAGCTTGTTTAACACGAAGCGCCCTACCGCTCATCCAGTTTCGATGGATAGCCGAGTTCTACCAAAGAGCCGTTCATTTCGGCTGGTCGGAATCTAGATCATCGACGACTTGATTTGCCACGAACACATCTCGTCAATAGCGGCAACTGCAGGGAAAAAGCTAGACTATTTATTCAAGGCTAATAAGTAGTTTTCTCCACATAACTTCCTCACTTTTTATAAGATTCAGATAAGACCTATCCTTCAGCACTGTTCACAATGTCGGGGGCCTTTTGCACCGACCGGCCGTCGGCGATCTAGCTCTAATCTACCGCTATATATATATATATATACGGGTGTAACCTGAGGAAACGAAGTTGGAGGGGGAAAAAACGACAGGTTACACCCGTATCCGGATGTGTGGGCATGTGTATCTACTTTTGTAGTTTCATATGTGCATTCATTTCGGGCTTGATGAAGCCAACTAGCTGAAATACGTATCGCTCGGGTTACCTATCCTGTTTTCTGCTCGAATCCACTTTCCTCCTTTTTGCGGATTTTGCCCATTATTTTCCTACTTGTTGTTATATACCTTTCTCCGCATGATCATATTCTCTTTGTATATATATATATATATATATATATATATATATATATATATATATATATATATATGCCAGACTGACCCCGCCTGACTTTGGCCTCCCATCCTAACCGTGTTGACTTCGTACCTCCAGAACGGGCCGATACCACCACTCCTTTGTCCCTAGGATATCGAAATTGTGGAACAATCTACCTAACGAGGCTTTTCCCAGTTCTACTAACCTCAAACAATTCAAATGCAATGTCGTCATAGCAGCCGCGGTGCCCTGGTATTTAGGCTTCTGACTGCGCGGCTGCTCGGTATAAAAAAATAATTATGATAATTTGTTTTTCATTAAGATAAGACTCAAAAAAACATCGGTGTTTTTTCTTTTTTTTATATCGAGATTCTATATCAATGGATAAATCTGGGCAAACTGTCGATTAAATTGTACATTGGAGCAAAGTCATCGGACAACTGCCTTCTGTAACAAGTGACAGGTTGAGCGCATACATGCTCATTTTGAGTGCACTAATCTAAACTTCACAGGTTAATATCCAAGGGAAGTAATTAAGAATGTTAAAAATTCGCATGGGGGCCTGCATGAAGTTTTATCAAATGGAGGTGGATCATAAGCAAAGGACAGATTTTGTGAAAGTGTATCTGCCCCCCAAACTTTTTGCAGAAGTGGCTCAAAAAACTGTTTGTAGAGCGAGCAGTAGCAAATTTTCTCAATAGGCAAATCCTGAAAATCTCCAAAATTGTACACAAAATCATGCAAATCCAGGCCCATCCAGATTCTTAGGCGATTCGGGTCTTTTTGGTAACCTATACAGGAATGCAAATCTGCTTTGTAATGCCACATAGCCGCTCCTATTTACCGGTACGGTTGAACCGTTCAGGCAAGCAAATTAAGTGGATCCTAATGTGTATGGCTGGCTTGAGACGAATGAGGAACTGATGAAGAGCTGGGTGATATAGTTCACGACAAACTTATAGTCTCTGTTTACATTTTTCTGCTTCTTTCTGGTACTAACACGCGTATAGTATGTGTATTATATGATACATGCTTAAATAATGATACAAGCTGGTTAATCTGTATAGTAAGTACGTAAGAAGCACCAATAGTTCCATATAATTGAGTTTAATGTAGCGAATCTAAAGTATATCGTATTGTTACGGGCATAGCAACAATTTCACATAATTTGACTGTGCTATAACTAAACGACTCGAAGCCGCTAACTCCCCTCCTTCCCGCGCCCCGCACCTACATAAGCTACCTGGTGCGTCCGGACGATGCGCAAGAGAAGCCGATTTTTTAACGATCGTCGATAAAAATGTAAACAGCCACTATAAGTTTATCGTGAACTATACCACCGAGTCCTCGCTGTGTTCCGTAAGCTTTGGAAGTTCTATTCTCTATCTTTTAATTGCAACAGTTTACGGACATTTTGGTCAGAAAGTAGTAAATAGCGTTTATGTAACTATATCGATCCCATTCATGTATCGACTCTGAAAAAATAAAGAAAAAACTACAACTACATAGCAGAAAAAAGCTGTTTATTTCTTAAATATTAAGAAAACATATTTATAAAAAGAATAAATTTGTGCAAACTATCAAATATCTATATGTTTAAATGTAAAAAATGATAGAGATGTGTTTATGTGCTCCCACCCCCATGATCGAAAAATTAATACTAAAAATAAAAAGATGGCCTTACAGGGTAGATTAAAAACTTTTGTATTTGCACATTCAAATAATTAACCGCAAATGTAAAGCAATAGCTTAAAAAATTTACATAAATAACATAGCATTTCATTGCACCAAATAAACAATTCAAAATACAAACTTACGGAAGTGATGTCAGTCTAAATGTGATTTTATGGATAAAAAATTAAATATAGATTTTCAACAATTTGAATTGTTTATTTTGTATTTGTCGATAATATATTGTTAATTCACCACTATGTCTCACACTTTCAAGAATTAAATCATAATAATAAAATCTTCTTATCTCTGTACAAATAAAGCTAAAATATACTCTATGTTTATTAGACCATTGAGTCCACTGTCACATTAGTGCAAAATCGTAGCCGATGCGCCCAATGAATTTGCTAAACTAAAACGAGTCGCTGGCAGTCTCAAACAGGCGGATTTTTTTTTAGCTTATATTGGTTTTCGTGTGATTGAGGCAGTACCTGAAAAAAAAAATCACATCAGGTGATTCTAAGATAGCCAAAAAGGGAAGTAGCAGAATACAAAAATATATTTAGAAATGTTGAGGGACACAGAGAAAAGGGATACGTCACACGGACTCCAGCAAGGGAATACATTTTGGCCCCACCTAAGGCCCATATTGTAAGTCGTCCCTACAATTGTAGGGCGCGTTTATGGCCTCCTTGATTGTCATACTCCTTTCTCTCCTTCAAAAATTTCTAGATTACACTTGTCCCGTGTCAGCGTCAGCGCTCTCCTATTGTGAAGATATGTTTTCTTTTTAAACTGTAGGAAATTTCAGGCTGATAAAACATGGTATACCGTAACTCAAAAGCAAGCACAATTTGATGCAAATAGATGTTTGTGACATAACCTCAAAATAGAGCGCTGACACGGAGAAGTAGAAAACTATGACAATCAAGGAGGCCATAAAGGCGCCCTACAATTGTAGGGACGACTGACGATGCGGGCCTAAGAGATCCGCCGGGTAGTACCTCCAGGTTATATAGTCTGAGACCGCCTTACCACCTGCAAACGCATAAAATCCATAGCCAAGAGATTAATTCTCTCGGGACGAGATTCGTTGCCCCGCAGCTCACGGTGACTGATTAGTTAGACCTAAAGCTGCCTAAAGTATTTGATTCTGATACTGTCTCATAGATGGCGCTGGATCTTCAACCCCTTTTAAGTGCCACTCTAATGCCTATTTTAATTAGGCATCTCCAGGCAGTGATCAACGCATCCCAAATAAAGATACGCCAAATAGGGACTAAAAATCCAGCACCACCTATGAAACAGTAGCGGAATCAAACACTCTACTCGTAACTCTTTTCAAAGTAGATTCCTAAACTTCTTTTTGTTTATCTTTCAGATCCCTTTTTAAACGCCAGAATGCAGTATATGGTTCTCTGTTGTGGTATGGTAAGATCATATATTGTTCTCTATCACGCTGTCTTTAGGGAAAATATCTTAATCAATAGTGTTTATCCTACTTATGGTTGGATGGGGAGTTTCGCAAATCACAAATACCTCATTCGGAGATGTTGATTGCGCTTTCTGACATACCAGTAAATCATTACATTGAGTTGTAGTCAGCTGCTAAGAGCTAGTGCTGCGTGCAGTATGGCTGAGTTAGCTAAATGTCATCTTAAATGACCACTTTGAATATTTTGAAAGCTTTCAGATGGCAGAAGTGATGTATTTGAGAGAGAGAGAGAGAGAGAGAGAGAGAGAGAGAGAGAGAGAGAGAGAGAGAGAGAGAGAGAGAGAGAGAGAGAGAGAGAGAGAGAGCGAGCGATATTCAGCAACTGAGCTAAGCCGAACCTCAAAGTGAAAAATAGAGTGTAACACCCTCTATAGTGCGGTAGGTCACAGACAGCTGCGGTATTTTTCACGAATATTCATTACGTTAGAACAACAGCTGATTTTATTTAATGATAATTCAAACCTCCCTATACCGACAAGTGACATAATTAATGCCGAAAGATCCGTCAATGCCAGGTAGACAGATCCGTATTTTGTTGGTTCTTTTTGTATGCTACAGATTCATTTTGTACTTGCTGATAGCTCTTTTATTCAGATCAGTTCCTGTGTAAATAAAAAATCGCTACATTTTACATTTCAAACCAGGTAGGAATAAAATAAGATGAACAGTTTTTGACTATGTTAATCATCTCTGCTTTTTGGAACTTGAAACACCATATTATTTTAAAGGGTAGTGAAACAGCCATATAATTAATGCAGAATGTGTGACAGTATACGACTGAATTGATAGAGGTTCGATTCCCTGAATAAGGTCTGTACATTACTCAGATAGTTATAACAAGTTACAAATTAGAAAAATGTAAGTAAAATGTACAACTACTGCAGGAAGTCATGAAATGTACTCAATTAGGATTATACAGTGTTCGTAAACACGGGCACAGGCCAACTGTTGAGAAGACTGCAAAAAGCTCAAGGAAAGTAAGACATTAATTTGGATGTACCAGAAACACGTGTCTATATTATTTTTACAGGTAAAATTGCAGCTTTTGGAAGGACAACGCAGCCTGTTCTAATGAATAAACTCGCAATCAATCAATCCCAGATGTAATTTAATAATTTTCTAATAAACATTTTTATATCTGTATTTCGTATAATTTATTGCCACATTTCCCAGTCACTTGAAAGTATAATCCATTTATGTGAACAGCTCTGAATACGGTCCTGAAATTCATTATTGCCAACGTCACAGACTAATCCAAAAAGTCGCTTTTGTAAAAAGCTGATCACCTTAGTAGACGTCCAAACGTAATGGATACTCGTGAAAAATGCCGTAGGTGTCAGTTTTGGTATGTTTGTGAAATGTGGCATATGTTGTCAAATTGTATGATAGGCATGTTACCAGTTACTTGTCAGATAGTTGTCAGTTTTGTTTGCATCTAGATCTTTCGATATGTTTCGCGAAGTTTATAGAATTCTCAAGTTTTCTAGAAAGTGATCCTCACATGTTACTAGGATATATAAAGGAGTCTGAAGTTGAAGGTTGAGGTTAAGTAAGTTTTGCGAATTTTTGAGCGAACAAAACGTGAAAATTCAAGACGTATTACAACTGCGAAAATAGATAATACGGTGTTAACTAGTTGTTCAACTATAAAAAGTGTTGTTTTTGATATTGTTACTTGAAGTGGCAACTCACTTATGCTTCCCGTATTTTCTTCTCTTTCTTCTTCTTAAGGAACGACGGTGTCCTTAACCCTTTCTTCTTCTTCTTATCCTTCTTTGGAGATCCTTCAGAGACAGAGTGATCCTGTAATACAAACACAAACATTAAATATTTTAAGCATCATTTACATATAGTTTGAATCGGATAAAGCACATGCGCGACGTATTATAAACGATTGCAAAACTAACTGGCAACAGTGATTTGGTGCTGCCCGTCGAGTTGCGCATCTTAAAAAATGTAATGATTTTAAAAAAATATTTACCTCTTTACTACTCTGGGATAGTGTGCTAATATGGGCATCGGAGTGGTCTCCATTAACAGTATTTTCACCTAAAACACAAAATATATAATAGATTCTATTTATTTTCTGTCATTTTTGCAATATCTGCAAAAATTCTGAAATTGAAAATGCTCACTCTACTTCACAAAAACATTGAAATCATTACTATAATAGTCATATTGGTTTTAAGGCAAATACAATACGCATGTTGGAACACATTATTGTTATAATTGATTATGAAAGTAAACATAAACTTTACCAAAAGTAAAGTTTAAATTATGACTACTTCAACTCATGATAATAAAGTTGGCAGTTACAAAAAATTATATTAAGATTATCCAAAGAAGAAATCGATTATTTTCGTAAAACAAACTTTATGAAACAGAGTTGCACTATACAAAAAAAAGTTAATAAAAGAACTTGTTACCTCTGTTATCCCCAGTTATTTAGTTAGTTGTCACAATTCAAACACAACCACATGCCAATCAAGCATATATTTATATAAAAATTGCAAGTTACAAAACGCTTAAAAACTTAAAATACATAAAGAGGAATAAAAATTCTAAAACTTCGCCGCTTCGTACCCCATCCAGTCTCCCGAGTCGTTCAAGGGTTTATTTTCCTTATTCTCTGGGTCAGCAGTTGTAAAAATTGCCACATTTGACTTAACATACGCACAAGTATTCACAGTTTTTGTTCTGTGAAAGTTCACCTCAGAGCATACTACAACGTTAACTTCTGGCCTCTCGAAAGACGTGTAGGTATCTGCATCGTTGTCATTCAGTTCGGTCAGTACACTATGGAACTGTTCTTCTTCTTCCTCTACCAGATCTTCCTCATCATCGTTGATTTCATATTCTTCGAAAACTTTAGAGAAATTCAAATCAAGAACTGAGCTCAATTCTACGTCTGTAACTTTACTTTGAAAAAGATTCATAGGGCGTTCCTCAGGGATAGGAGACAAGGATTTTGACTGATGCAACAAGTCATCTGGGGGTTTTAGCGGAATATCATCAATGTTCATGATACGCCTTTTTGGTCTAGGCGATGCAGAAGATTCCAATTTAGGAGACAAAGATATCCAATAGTTTTCAGCGCCTGATTTGAGACTGCAACCTTTCTTAAAAGGCATTACCTCTGTCTCCACGTTTACTCTCCTAGATATCTCTTTGTCTGACGGTATATAACAATGTTGGACGATCGATGATTTAGTAAAAGGTTGGCTTCTCAAGAACGACGTCTTCCTTTTACACTCAAATCTTTTTGAAACCGAAATTTCACGCTCTGGTTCGTTTTTATTTTGAACCACTCTCTCAGCTCTCGGTTCACTCAGTTGTTGATAAGATGTTTGAACTTCGTTCTCAATCTTTCTGAGCTTATCACTAACATGTGTTGAACACGAGGCATCATCTTGATCATTTGGTTGTTGAGAAGTTGTCTGAGACTCGACTTCATTCTCAGTCTTTCTCGCTTTATCACTCTCAGGTGTCGAGTACGATACTGTTCCTTGCTTCTGGCTCAGCGTTTTAGAGAACTCACTAAAGTTCTCATGACTCTCCAAGGAAGTGAAGAAGTAATCTAATACATCATTCAGATATTCGGATATGCTGAAAATCTTGTCAGACACAATATTTGATGTGTCTGACTCTCCTGATCCGTTAAACTTTTCATCGATCTCGAGCAGGTTCAAAGTACACGTAGCTATTTGCAATCTCAACCTATTTTTGTCTTCCAAATTCAAACTCTCTCCATATAATTCCTTGTAATAATCCAACAACTTATTAATAAGCTTATGAAGATTAGAATCATGAGACACCTCTGGAAATAACACCAATTCTTTTATCTCATGACATTGCTGCATCAAATAATCAAAAATCAACTTTGACAGTTTCTTGACATTCTCATCTGAAGTGACGTTTACATTTGTCGAACCGTCTGTAATTGTCTGAGTACAATCAACAATACCTTCATCTATACTACCAGATGAGAGTTCATGGAGAATCACCTTTACGTCACTTATAACCTCCTTGAAAGTTGAAAAATTATCTCCCTTAATGCTCACTGCCTCTAACTTGTTGACAAACTGCAGCGTGGTTTCACTAACTCCGCATTGAGGCATGTGGTGTCCCAAATCGGGGAGAAAATGAGGTTTTTCAGCATCCGCTGGATCGACGCTTTTATCCGAGTCAACTATGTAAGTATCATTTTGAGCGCCAACAGCTGAATCGGTAGTCTCTGTTCTTGGTGACATCGCTCTTTCTGAATATGTCTCGATATCATATACTTCGTTTTGTTCATCGTTGAACTGTACCCTTTTTGAAGCTTTTGTCTCAACTATTTTTTCTTCTTGATCTTTGATCATGCTAAGGCTGTCATTTAATACAGATTCTTCCAACGTCTTCAAGAAGTTATCTACTATTTTTTCAACAACTTCAGTAGAACTGTCACTATTTGATGTGTCTTTTGTCTTAGTAAAGTCAGAAATTTCAGATTTATCTATATTCGTTTCTGACAATTGACTAAAATATTTCGCCCCTGAAGCGTTACCATCATTGCTTTTAATATCTACTTGTTCCATAGCTACAATATCATCACCAGTATTGTCAATTTCAATTTCTGGATCGGAATCCACTGTTGCCTTATTTTCATCTGACTTTGTTGAACTGCTAGAGATGGGAAACATCGCTAATACTTCAGGAGTTAACCTCAAAGGGCTCTCGTTACTATCCTGGTCTTGCTCATCAAATTGAACGATATCGTTATTTTCTCCGACTTTAATACTTAGATCAGCCTCAAATGATTCGTATTCAGATCCAAAAGATTCATTTAAATCGTCCATCATCTGGTACCGGAGATTATCAAGGATACGTTTCTCGAACGACTCGGTCTTATTGGCGCTTTCAGGAGTAAGATGGCAAGTTTTGTTGTAACTATCTACATATATTGGAGTATAGTGAACATTATTAAGTTCTTCAACGCTAGGTGGTATATGTTCAAAGTTATTCATATAAGCAGTTTGCGAGCTTCTAGAATTGAGCACCGTAGGTATGTTCCTTAAATTCAAAGCACTGGCGAAAGGCAAAATGAACCCCCTTAAGGTATCCATAGGTATATCTAGGGAGACTGAATGGGAATTTCCTAGATTCACAGTGACCATGGATTCTCTAGTACCCCTATGATTAAACAAATAATCAGATGACGTATTTTGCGGTCTAATGGTAATAATGACAGGTTTCCTGACAGCGATTTGAGACTGTCGTGCAATATGAAAATGTGTAGGGTTAGGTATGCTGTATGATCCTTTGGGAAAGCCTGCGTGACTGTGAGTACGGTAGAATGGCACATGGAGACTAGTTGCAGCATAAACCTTGTGACCTGAAAGGAAGCCCCAGGTGTTAGCTATGTGTTAGGCAGGATTGGTTGGACCGTACGGTTTCTGTGGTATTCCAAAATGAACCAAGTGAGATTGCACCATTGCAGAAAAGCGGGAAAAACAGTAAGGATTAGAACAAGAAAGGCGGCAGGTTAGATAAGGTGATAAAGCATTGAAGCACATTGTCCAAGATCCATATTATGCTCGATCTTGACCGATTTGGTTTGATCTTGAATATTGAAAAGGCACTGGGTAATTTTGGCGTTACTTTCATTAAGTAAATATGTAATAATGAATTATTACCTATCAATAACATTGAATTACTTAGTTTCTTGATGAAAGCCGGATTTTATAGATAGATTGTCAACAATCCTTCAGTTGTTTTTTATTTCTATGTATGATCGAACTTGTTTGATCAGAGAAATGACTCATTTTTGAAACAAATACCTGTAACGCAGGCATGTTTGAGCAAACTGATAACAACCTTATATTAAAAAAGCTCATAAAAATGAGGATCCGTCCCATTTAATTTTTTTGCGAAAGAGTACATTCTGCATTTCTGACTACCCTATATTGATCATTCAAAAATTCGAAAAATGAATGAATTAGGCTAAAACTAATTATAACAAAACATTTGTGACACAAAAGTCATTACGCCAACCTTGAGATGTGGCAAATTGGGACACCTTGTATAATTTTATAAATATGACTCCAGATATCATACATTATAATCCATGAATAGTTTTCTTTGAATAGTTTTTGTTTAGGAGCCAAACTCGGTCCTCGCACGGTTGCGACACTTTGTATGATTTTCTACCTATAATAAGCAGTGTTACAGTACCTAGGTAGGTTGCCAAATCTCAAAAACGCTTCTACTTCGCGCGATAAGTTCCTCACTACATCGATAAAGGAAACGAAAAAAGCATTGAAAATATAACTGATAAAATTGTCTGTTAATGATTTACTTAGGCAACCTATTAATGACACTTTTTTAACATGTAACATCTGAAATTTATCCTGTGGTTTTCATGTTGATAATCCCCCATGTTTGTTTGGCCAATGAAAAACATAATATTTTATATTCTTCTTTAATGTAGTACATATATACGTATCGGTCACAATGGTGACCTTCAGTACACGACACTTTTGACAATATTTATCTATCTTCCAGGTGACACTTATGTCTTTTAGGAACACACTGCATATGAATCTGGAAATGAATAGAAAAAACAAACGACGTGTCACTTCGACGACATATAAATGAAATATTGTCAAAAGTGTGATGTACTGAAGATGGTCACCATTGTAACCGCAACATACCATATACTACATTGAAGAAGAATTTCAAAGTTACGTGGTTTCATTGGCTAGACAAACATGGGGGATTACTTTTTTAACATATTATTTGTCATCGGTCCGTCAGATCGGTGAAGGTCGAGCTTAATACAAATCATGTACTAAGAGTTCCAGTTGTATTTGAAGATTGAAGTATAGAAAAGCAAAAGCGTGAAACGCCGTCTGTAACTACAATGTACTTACTTCTGTAGCTATTCATCGATACACGTTCAGCCTTAAGGAAGTTTTCTACTGGTGAAGCTTCAACTAAACGTGCAAATAAAATAGTTGTTTAACATGCAAATCATGCTGTGCTATACATAAAATTTCTGAACATACATTTCTACTAGTACGACAATACAATGTTCTACGTCTTAGCTATGCTATCATACAAACATATCGGAAAGATGATAAGGTTTGGCATTTAAATGTATTCGATGATCTATTAATGATTTTAGAATTGTGTATACTTGGATTTTATAAAAGTGTTTTGACTCATCCTCGCACTGGTTTGGACTCCAATGTTGTAATACTAGACGAAACCAGTGGCTCTGCACGCGTGGAAGTAGTATAAAGTATATCGTTTTGCATTCGGGTGAAGTGGAACTAGATTTTTGTCGGAGACATGCAATGGTTAGTTTGGCAATGAACATATTTTATCCAATATTTTAATGCAACAATAATGTGAAGAGAGAGAGATAGAGCAATTTTGTCCTTACCCTACTTTCTGGACATCCTCAAATCCCATGAATATCATTGTCAAGCTCATGGGCAAAAATATACGAAGGGTACAGGGGAAAAAAGATGAATGTCACAAATTTGGCGTTTTGTAGTTAGAACCGGCAACATGTAGCCTTAACGCAGTACAATCCCTTGAGGTATCGAAAACACGCAAAAACAATGACAGTTCATAGTAATACAAAATTGAAAACTTGCAAGAAAAGATGAATGTCACTGCCGTTGTGTGAACGGGAGATGAACGTCCACTCATCGTCACCGAAACAATTTACCACATACACCGTTCTGCGACGAAAGAAATAAACGTTAAATAATCATTTTTAAGCAGTTTCCATTATTTTTTTTGTTTTTTTCTATATAATGTTGAATAAAGATTTTTTGGTCCATTGTTTTTTCCTGTCCCAATTAAAAAAAATACTTAGAACTAATTCTATGTTTGAGCTATTGAGGTTAGAAAATTTCTTATGATCTAGGCCCTTATATTTTACAGTGTGCCGCATTTGACGAAAGGCTTATTTCTAGCCTCAATATCTCAAAAAAGTTGAATTCAGTCATAGACACTATGAGGAGCTTAAAGAAACTTTGTTAATCCGATTTTTGAACTGAGCAAGGTCAGTAGAACTGAAAAAAGCTTCCTCATATAAATTGTTGCATAATCTCGGTACCGTAGCGACCAAGGAGCGTTCGTATCGGCCAGTTCTGGATGTACGCAGTTCGAAACGGTTAGGATGGGAGTCTGAAGACAGGCGCGTCTGTCGGTCCGGTCTCGGAAATAAAGGTTTCATTCAAGAAAACTGTTCGACCTTCAAATGTCGTTGTCATAGTCACGGTCACGTTCAAGATCAATATTGGATAGAGCGTTTCAATCTTATAACTTTGTTCTACATTTTTCTCAAGAAAGTATACACATTTTTACGACTCTCCATATTGTGGTTCAGACATGATGCTAAATAGATGATTAAGGGAATCAAGATCACTCGTGTGTAAAATGTATACCACGACACTGGCAACTGTGCCAAATCCGCACATGATTTCAGCGGCGAACACTTTTATAAATTCGTAGTATAATAGCAAAATATAGTTCGTGAAATTTTAATGAATGGATATTCAATTCATGCAAAAAATATGAGTTTATAAAAATGATCTCTTCCTATTAACTAGAACAAATAACCCCGGAAATGATGACTGTGAACACAACTTACCCCCTATCCGTCAATTTTGATAATAATCAACTGACAAACGACATGTATGAGTTCGCATAGCAAAGATACACATATAAAGCATTAATAACAATTATTGAATTGAGAATACTTACCATCACTAAGAACTACTTCAGGCTGGCTTGGTCTTGGGGCAGTTTTTGTTTCTATTCGGAGAATTTGTGGTTCTAGAACAGATAATTTCGATTATAAAAGTTCAATGAAAAACAACATACTAACAAATAAAAAAAATAAACATTTTGGGCATTTTTTCTCTCAAAATGCATTCTTCCTTCACTATAAATATTTTTGAATGTAATATATATATATATACATATATACCGTCCGTCCGTAAAGTTGTGGTTTTCCTTTTCAGAAACAACTACCCTTGAAATAACAAAGGTAATGTGTAGTGAAACGAGGGCGACCAAGTAAAAAAAAAATAAAGGAAAAAGAACTCACTCTCCAGTTGACGAGAAGGGCTAAGTACGTCTCTGCCCGAAATCATACCGCTCCAACAGAAAATGAAATCAGCTGATGCGCTACCGAGCAGACGCACCATGCCAGCCCAAACATTCACCGAAAATGTTTGTTGGAAATGTGCCCGACGGACAGCGTGCGGATATTCTACTGACCAAACATGAGTGTTGCGAAAGTTATTCACCCCATTACGCGTGAACGTAGATTCGTCTGTCACCAATATGCACTTCAAAAAGTCCGGATTATTGTCATGTTGATGCAACAACCACTCACAAAACCGCACTCTTGCTGGAAAATCGTCAGGTTGAAGGGCTTGTACACGTTGGACGTGAAACGGGTACAGCCCCTCTTCACGCAGCGTTTGCCACACTTTAGTTTTTGATACTTGCACTTCTCTAGCCACGTCTCTAGTGCTTGTTGAGGGATTCTCGTCTACGCGATTACCTCGCGTTACCGTAGCCGTCGGTTGAAGGTTGCATACTGACCTGACACACTGACCCCGACGCCCGACCCAGTTCTGTCGTTGAGCCAGTGACATTGTACCACTCCGTGATGTCGCGGCTACAGGACGGTATTCAGATATTTTTGATGTTGCAGAGCTCTTTATCTCGGTTAACTTAAGACATTGGTGTAAAAGGTACTAAGAAAAATTGCTTGTTTTCAAGATCTACACGTCGTGTAAAGGAAAACCCCAACTTTGCGGACACCCTGTATATTTTTTAATTCGAAGAGTCAACATACCATCCCTACTTTCTTCTTCAGTTTCACTAGTTACTGAAGTTGGTGACCTAATGTGTAATCCATCAATTCGTTTACTGATGGCAGCTGAAGATAAGCCTTCTGATTCGCTATAATCGGTATCGTCTGCAAAAAACAATGGAATTAAAAAAAGTTCAGGAGAATCATTAAAATTATATAATCGCTCAACTAAAATCAAATCCAAGCGAACAACCAAAATTTCTTATAATGTGGTTTAAGATGACACACGAGTTGATGACGTCAGTTACTCGAATGGTTCGTTTAACTGCGGTTTAGTTGCAAGTTGTTCATTTTATAAAAATGCGTATATAATTTCTGATGATTTTTATTATTACTTAATAATCGGTGCTTTTTCATCTACAACAGTGACATCGAAAGTTTAGAAAAGAAGACTTTCATAATATTAACGGCAGAAATGTTTTTTCTAGAAGATATTGTTCAGGTGTTAAATCACTTGAGAAAATCTCTCTGATTTTTAAACAAGTTTGTCGTGAAAATAAAAGATATAACGTCCAAAATGTTAATGGTGGAACCATGGCTTTGTAGCTCTGATAATTTTCAATTCTTTAAAATTTTTCTCATGTCCAAAACAACATTTATTGATTTAGCAGAAATGAAAGGAAAAAGCCATGAAAAAAGATATTAGCAAAACCGTAAACAGGTGGACACTAACCAGTGAGTATATACAGGGTGTTCCTTAATGATACGCGAATATTTAAGGGTGTGAATCTGCATGAAAAATTACTGTTAGTTTGCTTTATAAACAATGGTCCAAAAATGTTTCCTTACAAAAACTGTGTTGAATTTTTAAGAAAACCCTTAAATATTCGTATATCATTAAGGAACACCCTATATATAATAATAATAAACTACTTTTATATTGATTTATATTAGCTATTCTACCACTTAACCCTTGAAAATAACTAGCACTAGAATATTGATAACAATTTTAACAAAATTCTCTTCCAAAATTTAAAAAGAAAGAAAAAACTATAAACGATTTATATAATATGCAGAGATATGGCTGAACTATATACTGGGGGTTTCATATTTGAGCATCGATAATTTGTTTAATTTGCTTTTTGAAATTGTTGAAATCAAGATGTTTAGCATACGATGGTAATGCCTTATATAGATTGATGTCATAGGTGTATTTATGAAATACACAAGTTTTGAAGAGGCATAGTTAAAGTGTCAGCAAATCGAATTTTTCTTGAATGGATATATTCACGAGATATTAATTTACTTTTTAAAAATGAAGGAATGAAAGGTTTTTAAAATTTGCACAGGGGTCAAGCTCCGATGACAATACAATAATCTTAGTGAAAAATTAAAATTTACTATAAAAAAAAATGAAATTTGGATAGAGTGGATTTGAAAATTTGGAAAATAATTGGAATAAAATATACCGAAAATCGAAGCTTCTTGATTATCAGTACTTTTGTTATCGTTTTGAGATTAAAAATATAAATTATAGTTTTGAAAATACAAAAGCGTGGGGTGCAATTAAATATATTCTCACAACTCCAATTTTGTAAATAGCACCAAAAAATTTATTCTAACATGCAATATCAAGCACCCCATGCTTTTTTCCTGCAATGAATGTTTTGTTAATACCAATTTTTATATTGGTCTTATTACAAATTAATTAGTAATATTTGATTTTTGGACCGTCTGTTGCAGCGACACAAACTCTCCTATACTTTATATTTTCTACTTTTTAGTTCTATCTATTCTATTAAAGCTAGTTTTTTAAACTAAAATTTATTAAATACTTTACTGGGCTACTATTCTGATCTCAAAAATGTCATTTTTTGTAAAAAAACTTACATTCTCCTCTCGTCTTCTTCTCCACCACCTTTTTGTATTCGTCCAACTCCTCATCGGTGATGCAATCGAATGGATTTTTGGCATAAGGGGCCTTATAAACGGCTGCGTTGTGTTGGTGCCCACGTTGGATGATTCCTTTCGAAGCTGCACCCATCAACACCACGTGGTCACCCGTTTGCGAAGCCGCAGCGTCCTGCATCTTCCTTGCTTCCTCCCACGTTACGCCTTCCAAGATGTGCGATTGGGGACCGGCGCTTATTTTGTCCGCTCTTCGGTAGTCTTTAATCTAGTGGGAAGAAATTGATAGATAGATATGCTGAAGATTATCATCATTCTTAATGAAAAACTTTAAACTAAAATATACTCAGTTACATTAGAAGTGTTATACCCAGAAAAAATAATTGCTTCAATTTGTTTTTTTTTTTTTGGTAACATTATGACTATATTTAAAGCATGCTGTTTATGGTGATTTTTCAGCATTTTGATATCAAAATAAGTGAACAAAGAAGAACCTTACATAAATTACACCATAATCGGGTTGAAAATCTGGCAACGTTGCTTTTTCCTATTCAAATTTTATCTACATCGTAAAAAATAGTATATTGGTAGCACTTATTTAAGTTACTTAACAACCACCATTTTGTGTCAATTGTCGAAGCTGTTTTCACAGTGAATTTCGTTGTGGCTTTTATTTATGATTGACATATCACGTTTACTCGATAATTGAAGGGTCGGCCGGAACAACGTTGTATGTAACAAAAAAGCTCAGTGGCCGAAATTAAGAAAAACAAATTTGAACCATTTTTTTCAAATGACTGCGTCTATAGTTGGCCAGCACAATAAAGGAACAATAGTTATACAAGGTTATTGTAATTTAAAAATGTAACACCTATTTTGCAGCAATGGGAACCATTTTTATGGAAAACGCTTGTAACAAGGTTGTATGATCACGTTACTTACAACGTTGTTACAGGGAGGCTTTAAATGACTATACGCAAAACAAGTATTTTCAGCAGTTCTATTTATTAAGGGAACCAAAGAACACAGTAACATATTTTTAATAACAAAAAAATACGTTCTAAGTTCATCAACGTGTTTCGAAACCAAAACTGAAACTTAAATAAGTATTACTGGGTTGCAGTTAATTTCTCATAAAATGTTACATACTTAAGCGGAATATAATCACTCATATCCTCAAGGTTTTTTAATTTTTCATCTTTGATTGGAAGAAGGTTGTGATACATTATAGGTAACTTTTCAGATGATATGATATCAGTGGTAAAAGTCATTGTTTCTTTTCTTTTACGATTGCTTATGGGAAATGAATTCCAGGGCTGCATAATATTATGACATTTTCTCATTCTCAAAGTAGCTGGAGAATCAGCGGTAAGTTGCAGTCACAATCCTTGTGTAATTTTACATTTGAGGTATTTCCATATACAATATTCCAAAGCTGTTAAATTCTCAAAGAAGGTTTGGTACATCCAGACAACTTTAAAAGGATTTTTAACTTTGTCTTTAGCAATTACATCGACCCACTGGAATGGTTCATAAACCATAGATATTTGTTTACGTACATACAACGCTGTTACGCGGAGGACTGAAATGGCGCGATTTACAAATTCGCGTCACAGTGATTGATGCGAGTAAACAGGCGGGTATATGTTGTCAACGGGTCCCAATAGGCACATACTACGTTGTTTTACGGAAATCCCATTTTATAGAAAAATGTTATATACAACGTTGTTCCGGCTGACCCTTCAATTATCTATTTTAGAGCGACTATAGAGGTATTTTCAATCGGAATAAAATGGTGCATCAGTGCTAGTTTTTTAAAATTTATAAATATCAGGCTAGAGCAAAATCTTTAACATTTCATTCGTGTAGTCCTTGTACTGAATCGAAGCAGTTACGTCACATTTAGTAAATTTGAATGCCAACCTTAATGCAAAAATAATTTTGTGAGAAATAGTTTTTATCGGTCACTTCCCTCACATCAATACTATAAGCAAATGGTATCAGTCATAGATGGCTCACCAGGATTCACAGAAGGGGCATTGAATGCAATAAAACTGAAAAAGGAAGAAGCAGCTGCCCAGGGAAGAGGAATTTTTATTCAATTTAGTTTTAGATGAAATGCCAATTAGGAAACAAGTAGAATGGGCAGGAACCGAGTTTTGTGGATATGGTATGTTGATGTAGGCACACATGTCCACTCAGATATTCTCCCAGAGGCGAAATACGTATTAGTATTCATGCTAGTATGCATTAATGGTATTGGAGAATACCAGTAGGATACTTTTTCTTGGATGGGCTTAATGGTGCCGAAAAAGCCGAAGTAGTTGAACACTGCCTTACATTTGTTAACCAGTTAGGAGTACCTGTTACTTCAATAAAATTTGACGGCGCCCCTGTTATTTTGACTATGGCATCACGCCTAGGAGCCAATTTTAGTGAATACCAGTAGGATAGTTTTTCTTGGACGGCCTTAATGGTGCCGAAAAGGCCGACGTAGTTGAACACTGCCTTACATTTGTTAACCAGTTAGGAGTACCTGTTACTTCAATAAAATTTGAAGGCGCCCCTGTTAATTTGACTATGTCATCACGCCACGAAAAATGAAACAAAAATCGCTTAATTTTCGTTCTGAAATTTGACTTGAGGAACATAATCCTTTATAAACTGAAGACATTGTTGCGTGGGCCCTTTCCACTCTGCACTGACAACCTGCTTGACGTCATTTTTTTATTGTCAACTCCACCAGTTGTTTATTTATTGTAAATTGGGGCTTCCAAATAATGTATGAGAATTGTACTGTAACTTAATTTTTCCTCCTGTAATACGAGTACGTAATACTAAGACATACAGAATCATTGGTTTATCGTTTAATAGGTAGTAAGAGGACTAATAACTTTTATTATTAGTTTTTAGATAGCCTAGGTTTTTGTCGTCTTATATTCAAAACTTTGTTCTTATATAACTGCTAGTATTTTAGTTATAATTATTATTTATTGTAACAAAGCTAATTATTCTATACAATATGCATTATATAATGTGGACGCACTTTGTTTTCATAGTAAGACAAAAATCATATTAAAACTGAGAAACTGCTCAATATATACATTTCAGCAGATATATATGAAAATGAGCAATGTGATCATATTAAAACTTATTTGGGGGTCTAGATAATCATGCCATGTTCCCTGATTTGTTAGATTTTGCATATGCATGAATAAAAATAGAACAATAACTTGGAGTTTCTATTGAACTACACATTGCACTAATATGAGTAAAAAATTATAGAACATATATTTATTACTACACAATATTACTCCGTTTTTTGTGATATTTCCGATTCCACCCTTATACGTATTGTATGTTTCGCCTATACGTAATTGTATCAATGATTATGTATAAAGTTTTCAGTGACATTAGGTTTCAGTAGCTTGAATGCTCATGCGGCGGCCCTTTGATTGTTCTCCACTCATTCCCTCATGACACTCGCCATCGCTTCGTGCTTTGTTTATTGTTTATGTCAACGAGTCGAATGTAGTTTTATGGACTTGCCTGGTTTATCGTTTTGAAGTCGATGGTCCTATTACCTTTTTATAGATTCTTAATTGTAGATCCAAATTCAGTGTTTTGGTCTGGCACGAAGTCAGGCTTCATCAGAGTTATGTTTTTTGGCAACATGACTATAGTTAAAGAATGCTGTGCAACAATGTCAACGTTTTATCTTTGTTTACCTTTGTTAAAACGTTGTCTCTTAGTTTTTGTAAAGAAAGCAGTTCCTGAGAGCTGAGAAGTACAGATATTTTTAGATATTGCCCTCTCCTTTACTAGTGTTAATCATAACAAAATGCCTCGAGTTCGAAGACGTCCAAATTATAACTATGTTAGCGACTTTGACACGGGTAGAATCATTGCCTATCGAGATGTTAGATTTTCCTTTCGCAAAATTGGCCGCCGTGTTAATTAATTGTACTGCAATGGCGGTAATGCGTGTGTGGATAGAAGGAGGTAGAGGAACGCGAAGAAGGCCAACTGGTCCACCGAGGGATACGATAGAGCGTCAAGATAGGTGCTTCAGACAACTAGCCCTACGAGACCGTTTTGCTACTACGCGTCAGATCGCTGACCAATGGTTTTGAGAAAAAGCTAGACCTGTTACTAAGCGTACACTCTATCGCCGCATTCGAGCCTTTGGACTTTTTTCATACCGTCCACGGTTAGTGCTTCCTATGACTGCGGACCACTGTCGTCAACGCTTGAACTGTAGCAGAGAACGGCAATATTGGGATGCAGAATGGCTTAATGTCATCTTCAGCGACGAATCGGAATTCTGTCTGTTGAGAGGTGTGTCCACAGGACTATTGGAGTAATGGTTTGGGGGGCTATTGCCTACGGTAGTCGATCACCCGTTCTCTGTGTTCAAGGCAATATGACTGCTGCACGTAATGTTGATGTCCTACAACTTTTCAGCAAGAAAGCGCACGTCGCCATATTGCTCGTCGTACTACGGACTTTCTTCAAGAAACAGGCGTTAATGTTGTGCCGTGGTTCACCAAATCTAAATCCCATCGAACATGTGTGTGATATGATGGGGAGGAGACTATCCACTCAACACCATCCCCCACAACTAATTCGCGAAGTTCGAGCCGCTTAGAATGAGGTGCCTCAACCACACATCGAGCATCTCATTTTGTCGATGCCTAGACGTAGGTGTATACACATTAACTTTTATTTTATTACTTGTCAATGAAATTTTGTGAGAATGTTAAAGTTTCATTCTTGAAGTAAGACTACCTCATTGCCAAAATATCAAGTTGAAGAAATTATTTTTTCTGGATGTAACATTTCTAATGTCACCGAGTATATTTGTTTGTTTGTTTGAAGATTTATTTAGAATTAATGCTTCAATTCCAATTTTGTATAATTATTCTTTTACATGTTTTTTTAATCAATTTTCTGTAATTTTACATTCTCGTCTATTAAAATTGCATCGTTATGCATTTTGGGTACTCATAAAGTGATTTTTTAATTTGCACCCTAAACATTTTTAAATTCAAACACTGTTTATTATCGTCATTCAATTTAATTTGCAGATAAAAATCTGAACTGCATCTACAATGAATAGTAACAGGCTTAATATAATCCCCTGTGACACCCTTACTGATACATTTTGAACGCTTGACATAGTTTCATTTTTAGTTTTTTGAGTTCTATTTACTAAATTATTTTGTAAAATGTTTAATTCCGATGCTTTAAAACCATATTGATGTAATTTCATAGACAATTTTCCCTATAGACAACTGTAAGATATTTTAGTTGTATGTTTGTTTAAGATTTATTTAGTGAGATTGCTACAATTCCATTTTTCTAAAAAACTAAACAGTTACATAATATACAGATATTTAGAAAAAAAAAAACAAAATTTGCATCTCTAAGAATTTTCACTGTCCATGAAATATTTCTTTAATTTCCTTTTACACATCTTTAAATTACAAGTAGACTTTATATCATTATTTAGTTTATTAAATTCAAGTAATCCTTTCTGAAATGTTATATTACTATTGCAATTTTGTAAATGAAAATCTATATTTCCGCTTATATAATAATTGTGGTAATGATTATTCAATTCTATGTAGTGTTCTAAATGTTGTGGCATAAGATGATTTTTTATTTTAAACAAAAATAAGAACCAAATATTTTATATCCAACCACTGCAATTCTTGTAACATAGATTTTATTTTGCAGGACTTGTAATTTTGAGAATACTGCTTCATTGGCAGTGAACAGGATAGTTGAACAAAATAGTAAATGAGGTAGAATAATTGTGTTATAAACTATTTTCTTGGAATATGTATCAAGACTATGAGAAGCTCTATAAAAGCATTTTTTTTCTTGGCAATTTTTGAAACAATCTATTCATAGTGATCCTCAATCTTTAGTTTTAAGATATATACCTAAATATTTTATTGATTCAACATTTTCAATTGTTTCACCATTTATCCTAACTGTAATAGTATTTTCATTCAGGTGTTTCCCTATTAGCATACATTTTGTTTTAGAAGTATGTATTCAATTTTAGTTTATTTACATTTAACTAATTTATGATTTTTGCCAATTCAGAATTTAGCATTTTTAAAGCAGTGTCTATATTTTCATCTGATATGTATATTAATGTATCATTGCCAAATATCTGAATTTTACAATAATCTAAAATATTACAAATGTCATTAATGTATAAAATAGTAGTGGATCTAGTTTACTACCAACAGAAATATTTTTTGATCTTGATAATGTAGAATTTTGGTTTTTTGTCTTCTGTCAATTAAATCCAAATCCAGCTTGAAATTTGGTTAAAATGTTATTTCTCTCAATAAATTCGATGATCTATTTCTTCAGACTTTTTCAAAATCGGGCAGAGCATCTATTAGCCTCATATTGGTGTACAACTCATAATTCTTAACTTTAGAAACAGGAGTTATTGTAGAACACTTTTTTTGTTGGAAATTCGCCATATTTTAAACAGTAATTTATCAGGACTAATATTCTTAATAATAATAGCAATAGCCTAGTAGACTATGTTGGTGTCACAAATATAAACAGATAATATCGATTATATCACTCACCTGTTGTTGTTTCGCTTTGAACTCCCTGGGATTGGTGCCTTTAGGAACGAATTGTAGGGCGGACTCAATTTTTACTGGGGTACTAGAATGGCTGGGAGATCCCTCGGCAACCCACTGAAAAGACAAAACCAGCACATTAGTAATGTTATGATCGTTAGGAACGACAATACAATTGTTATAATTTGGTGCCATATTGAAGTCATTTTTTTTTAATTTACAATGTGATTTCAGTATCCTACATAAAAAGCAAAGCAGTGCGTTAGTAAAAATGAATTTCCTTGGGGTAACATTAGAAATGTACTGGTTCTGCCATTTTTTACAGTTGGCACAAAATTCATAATGGATTTTCGTTATATTCTTGATATGATTATACAATTTTTTGTTAGAATCCATGTACTCTGAAATTCAAATTACATGCAAAAAATAAAAAAATTGTATTCACTTACAGCATGTGATTTTAGTAGACGCTGGAGATAGAAAATTAATGAAATCTCAGAAAAAAAAAATGAGCGCCCTTACGGCAAGATTTTTACAAAATAAATCGTCATTTATGAGAAAAAAATGGCGATTCAATTTTAACATTTGTAAAACTGATCAATAGAAACTTGAAAATATAAAAGATGTCTCGAAAATTAACATTAACAAAACTTTAGAATAACTGAAAAACAAAAAATCTGGAGGTAATAGGTATAAATTGACACTGCATTATTAAGACTCATTCATATATTACTGAAGCTAAGCAAAACATGCTAAGTAACAGTTAGCATCTACATAATATCATGTATACATAAACAGTAGATACCAGAGAAAAAAGCGGTGGGATAATAAACATGTTTCATATGGCACCATTACATAAACATTTAGCTCAATAAGCTATAAAAATATATTTATAAAAAAATAAATGTATGAATATGATATAATTGCATTAGGCTAACATATTCAATTTTTAAAATAAAATATACGCGTAAAACTAATAAACATCCTTACAAAATCATACATCCAGTACCTTGGAACACGCGTTATCCGAGTGTTATGATGTGTGTGATAAGTGTTCATTTCTGATATCATTTATGGCAGTGTATTTTTGAGCATTGAAAACTTTCTCTATGATGCAAGCTGAAAAGGTCTTTATAATTTTTAACGTTCGATCAGTTTCAATATCGTTTTTTTTTTGACCACTTGTATATTTTCAAGGCATTGCTCTTAACTTCTGTAGCTGCCAGTACTAGCTGCAAATTTTGTCCTGATAAATAATATCACTTTAATAACGAATACAATAAAGCTGCGATAGCATAAACAAATATTCTTACAAGAACAATGTAGCACTCAACATTGCACTATTTTTATGTATATACTGACTTAAACTGCCCCCACAAAAACAATGCTCTTATTTTATTATTTTGCAATGAGAAAAAATGATTTGCCAGAATAAACGTAAACATACTCATTACACCTTGGTAGCACGTTTTAGAATTTCTACAAATTGATATTTTTTTATAATAAGAGTTCTGAAAGTCAGCACATGTAGTACGTTATATCTTATCACTCTAAAGGAATGTGCTAATATTACCGGAAATGTGAAAACTTTTAATTTTTATCCTCAAATTTGATGAATTCTACCTTTGTGATTTTCTTCGGATCCGGTGTACCAGTCTCAAGAATCTCAACTTTCTGATACGTATTTGGTGAGTTGAGCCATCTGCTACGATCGTGACCTTTTCTGCCTCCTTCTAACTTTCTCCACAATCTGCAAAGAAAAAACATTATTAGCATTATGTCTTATCATTACTGAGATCGATTGATTCAATAAATTTGAATAGTAACTTAATACACAAAATCGGAATCGTTAAAATTTTTGGACTAACCATTGATCACAGATTAGATGTTGCCAATCATCTAGAGCAATTGATTATTCAATTGACAAAGGTTTACCATATTATAAGAATAATTAACAACTTCAAGTCAAGTCATCGTTGGTTGTCAGAGCGGTCCGTGGGACCTTAGCTCTTGTGTCACAGTGTCAGTTTGTAAGTCTGTCAGGTGTGGTAACCCAGTAACCAGACAATTTTAAGGAAAAAGGGGAAGGAAAGGAGAGAAGGAAGAACCAGAGCAAAGGGGAAGAAGAGAATCTTTTAGGATAGGCAGCGTTTAGGCATATTAAAATCACTTCACAGATTTTGATATGGTCTAAAAATATTCGATTTTTTCTAAAGATTTTGTCAAAATGCTCCAAATTTGGTTGTTATGTTGACAGTAATAAATATTTTCTGTTCATTAAGGTTGTATTTTTTTCTTAAACCAAAAAGTGAACTTCCCCACTGCCAACTTATGTGGAACATTAAATGATTTAAGATGCCCTGAACATTTTCATGTGCCTCCCTAATATCAAAAAAATCAAAAATTTAAAGATATTTCTCGGTGAACTCAAAAACATTCTAATAAATAAACCATATTATTCCTTATAGTCGTATGCGTTCTACAATAATATTAAGATCTACCTATTTCAATTTGTTATATTTTAGTTTTAAGATAGGTTGGTCATTAAGAATGATTGTATTCTTCAGCATATCTATCTGTCTCACATTGAGGATAACGGCGTTCAAGGAAGTGCGACTATGAAAGAGACAATGATGCCATAGTAACGTTCTGGGATGGCGAGATAAAGGGCCTCCGCAGACTGCAGACTTTCTATCGGCCGATAGTTTAGTCGGGTTGGGCTGCTAGTGCGCACACCGAGTCAACTAAACAGTTTGGTTGGTGAAGAGTGCGCAGACTAGCCAACAGCCGACCGACGCCAGAAATGTTTTATTGCTCTCATGAAACGGAGAAGAAAAATCAAGAGTTTTCGAGAGTTTTTTTTTGCATCTCATTCTCAGTCATCGTTTCGTTGGTGAAAAAATGTACACAATGCATTCTAAATTACTTGATTACCCGAAAAAATTCGACTGCCCGACGCCAAAGCTCGAAGCGAACTGAACTATCGGCCGACTAAACAATAGTCGTTGTGCGTAAGTGGAAGTTAGCCAACACTGATTAGGCAGCCGGCCGATAGATTAGTTTGAAGGGAATCGGAAAGCCCATCAAACTTTTTTATCGGCCGATATTGAATCGCTGTAATGTGCGCATATGTATACCTCTCCATTCTGATTAAGAAGCCGACCAAACTATCGGCCGATAGAAAGTCAGCAGTCTGCGGGAGCCCAAACTGCTCCACTCTTCCTCTATGGCCGTCTATCACGACACAAAATTTTGTTCATAATTTTGTGAGAATTCGTTACTGAATTTAGTTCCCAATTTGTTTACAAATTACAATACTGTCCGTCACGTGAAGCAATTTTAGTATTAAATTTCGTACGAAATCCTGTGCAGTCTGTAGAAAAAAACTATAATTGTCATTTATCACGTCAAAGTCACACTAACAACACTTTTCGTTTGTTCTACATTATTACTTTAATCGACTTCAACATGGAGTAATTCGCAAATATTATATGCGACTGCGGGACCAGCAATCTGCGTTGTAGCTGCCCACCTCGTGAAAAAACGAATTGAACGAAACCGTAAAAGAATATGGGGTCGAAAATGAATCAGGGAGGAACCGGGGAATAGGTGTGCTCCAGATGCTGAATAAAGGACCTCTAGCGGAGGATCCACTGGCTTAGAGGTCAAATTGGTTCTAAAATCATTCTGATTTTATAGACCTTGCTTTTTACCGCATATAAACAATCATATTTCTCATACTCGTTTAGTAGTATGTCACACTGCTCTTTTGATCATGACATCGTTCAAGTTTTCAATCTCTACAATTTTAGGAAACCTTTGTGGAATCCTTGATCTTCATAGTATTTTCTCTCATTCAGAAAGGTAGGGGTATTTCTAGATTTCTACTATTCCGTGTCAGCGTCAGGGCTCTCCTATTGTGAGGCTAGGTTTTCTTTTTGCATTGTAAGAAATTTCAGGCTGATAAACAGATGACATAGATCTGAAGCATGAAAAATTTGATGCAAATAGATATTTGTAAAATAACCTCAAAATAGAGCGGTGACACAGAGTAGTAGAAAACTATGAAAATCAAAGAGGCCGTAAAATAAATTGTACTAACGACTGACGATACGGCCCTAAGTAGAACAGAATAGGCAGCAGAGTTTAGCGAAACTGATGAATACAACTGGTAACATCAACTAATGAAGGTGTTTGAGGTTATATCAGCCATTGTACTGCTCCAATGCGCACTAGTCGTCTGCGCACTTTTAGTATGATATCATTTAGAACAGGTTCTCAAGAATTTAGCACTAAATTTGTACAGGAATATGTACTAAATGCTGTCTGACACTATCCTTAATTTTGTACGAAATTTAGCTTACTGAATTTAGCATAAACGGCCTCAAGAAATCACAGTTAACATAAGAAAATACTACACGATATTTGCCTTGAAACTAGAAAATGCTAAAGCAGGCGAAAGGACAAAAAAATGTAAGCAATTGAGGACTAGCACTATTTATGAGGAAACATCTAGATTTGGCGACTCACCCTTGCCTATACAACTCTTCCTCCTCCAACAGATATCCGAGTGAGGAAACTGCCGGGGGTACTTCTACGTCGTTCTTCGGCTTAGGCGGGTCGTGCTTTATCAACGGCTGTCTGTAGATGTAACCGGTGCGGAAGCCGGCGTTGTCCAACATTCGCATCAGGGATTCGAACTCTACGCCTCCGACGCGCCATTTGCGTTCCACTTTGCTCTCCAGGATCGACGGCTGATCCGGTCTGAAATAGAAAATATTCAAAATATAAGTGAAAGTATGAACTAACTTGACCCCCCACCTCAAATGGAAATATATGCAAGCACATGCAAGATTAAAGCTAAACCTTAAATCTGCGTTCTCAGTGTACAAAAGGCTCCAGTGCGGCAAGTTCTCAATCTGTCGTGGCTCTTAAGTGGAGGCTTGAAACTAAACTAGTCGACGGTCATGGACGGTTCACACGATCACGGCAGTTTATTCCTTGAAACCGACCATGGAGAAGCTTATAATTGGAAGGTGTGCAGGTTTAAGTACAGATTTAGGTGACATATGTCAGCGAAAAGGTTGAGAAAGTCATGTGGACATATACAAAAAATGCGTCAAGTAGGTTAACTTTGCACTTCAGCACAAACTTGACCCTCTTAGGAAAAAGTCAGTCAAACAGGTCCATACAATTAGTTCATGGGCATTCTTTCCCTGCCCTACCGGTAGTGCATCTGTCAACGTCTCTTAACCCGGTCAGACGTGGCAGCGCGCAGAGCATAGCATGTAACACTCACTAAGGCCGGCAGTGTGCCGCAGTTAGCAGCAGTTGCGGCCAGTAGGTACGCGATCCGTCTGCTGAGAATATTTTTAAGGGCTAATGTGCGGGAAAAAGCTAGGCTATTTGTTTAGGGCTAAGAAATACAAGGCCCAGATAAGACCTAGCCTCGAGTAATGCTCACACGTTTGGGGTGCTGCCGCCCCGACTACATTGTTTATGCTCGATGCTGTCCAGAGCAGGGCAGTCCGACTGATCGATGACTCTTCTCTAACAGACAGTCTCGAGACCCTTTCGCGAAGGCGGCGGGCCGTCGATGATCTAGCTCTTTTCTACCGCTACACCAACAGGCATTGCTCCTCAGAGCTTTCTTCCATGATGCTGCCGCGCGATGTGCCTGATAGGCAGACCCGCCTGACTTTGGCGTCCCACCCTAACCGTGCCGTGTCGAGATTGTGGAACAATCTACAAGAGGAAGCTTTTCCCAGTTCTACTAACCTTGGGCAGTTCAAAAATCGTATTAACAAAATTTCTTTGGGATCATCATAGCAGCCGCGGTGTCCCGGCATTTAAGCTTCTGCTTGCGCGGATGCTTTGGTATATAAAAAAAAAGAAATCCACGATGTGTGAAATATGTATAATAGGTAGCATTGCCAAAGTGGGGAGCGTATAAATGTACTAACATAAAAAAATTGATATAAACCCAACCCACCCCCCTACAACCCCCACCGCCAAGTGTTTTGCCTCTATAATTTTTTTCACAATGATCAATATCCTCTGAACGAGAAAAATGAAGTTTGAGCAATTCTTACTTTTTTCGTTTTTAGCCTTTTTCTCTGCCGCAACTAGACGGATTTTCAAAAACAACAAAACTTTTACGTCCTTGGCATAGTAGTAACATTGTATAGAAATTTCATCGGCTCCGATCGGTACTTCTCAAGTTATTGGCGGTTATAAGATTGGTTGACAGACGGAAATGAGTGACATGGTTTTACACATCCAAAAAATATATTTCAAAATTTTCGCGATTACAATACTTCCCTGCCAGTAGGCGTGGGAGATAACATGGAACAAAGCTTCATTGGGTCAGTGAATGAATATTGGTAAGAAGAATTTTGGAGGAACACAATTTTGCATACGCTGAACTAAGAAATGAAGGTCCTGAAAATTTTAAAAATATCCTTTGAATGTGTGAAGATTAGTTTAATTGCCTTCTACATTTTTCCACACATTTTGAAGTCAATATTACGTTCTTCCTAGCTCTCAGCTGTTGTGAATCTTCCTCTCACGATGACGTTAGAGGCAATGTCATGATACCTCGTTCAGACAAATGCAATTTTCTCTTGAAAATAAGGACGCGTTCTATGAATAGGGTAAATATCTGATTCAACAAACAATATTATAGATATTATTTTTCACTTGGGAAATCTTTAAATTCATAAAATTTTCTGGATCTATAATATTAATCATTATGGCTGTTATCCGCAGCAGTTCCTAATAGGAACAACAACACTAAAGGAATACAATGTGAAAAAAATCCATCCAATTACACAAACAAATGTGGAACTATTGCCTATTTACTAGTAATAGCATAATAATACGCCAATTGCAAATGCATTAATTATTCTTAGCAGGCTCATATAATTATATTAGAAAATAGACTACTGTTCCATTAGTATCGACGGTGATTGTATCTTTTGGTTTATGTCAACCAACACATTTAGAATAATTATGGGTTTAAATGGAACTCATTTCCTTTGATAAGAAAGATATATACTATGGTCATTAAATTATTTTTCCGACATAATTAGAGCTTATGGAACAATATAATTTAAATGACCTAGTACAAACGAAAATACTGAATTTTCTCCACCTTCTGCAACATTAGATTATCAGAAACTTGTAAAAGCATTTTTTAAATATTTTTGACATGCAGTAAAAAACGAGTGTTGGCGCGAGAAAGTAGGCCTTATAAGAAACATTGGGTAAACACAAAAATTGGTGGATACCATTCATTACCTAGGTGTGCTTTCTGGCGGGTTATGCGCCTGCTCGTACATCTTTTTCCTGATTTCATCATCTATTACCACAACGTTGTCCAATCCGATAGGCAACAATTTGAGCTGTGTCTCCGATGCTAAAACTGCATTCCTAGCATTGAAGAATGCTTCCTCGACGGTAGCGCCACAGCAAAGTGCTCCTTGGTTGGTCAAAAGTAGTACTTTGTTGTTAGGACCCAAGTTGCGGGCGAGCTTGTCGCGCTCTTCGGAGTCCAGGGGACCGCCGAGGTAGGTGTGAGTGCTCACGTCACCTGGAATTAAAATCTGGTTAGTTCAGAAGAAAGATAGCTGCAGATGACAAATTCTTTAAACGAAAGGTTTCAAACAATTCTCAAATTGGTTAGAATCATTGGTTCTCAATGGGTAGAGCTACTTGTCACCATCTTTAGATATTGCCATCTGCCATCATAAGATTCTCATATTGTTATACTTTCAATGAACCATACCAGCATTGCATAAGGATAAATATACGGTATTTCAAATTTCAATGTTCCGACAAAAGAAATCTTGAGGAAATCGACAAATTGTGGAAATAAACCATATAAACGGTGTAAAATATAATGCTTTATTTGGAACATATAATGAAAGGTAACCATTAGGATTTAGTTACAATATGCTTTCACTACAAATATCAACAAATTCCTATATATGTAATTTGTATAGCAATACATAAATAAACACTCTTTGTACTGCTAAATACACATTATAACATATTTTTATGAAGAGACATAGAAAATTAATCAACGCATAAAAAACACGATTTTGGTGGTTCTTAAAATTGAGTCACCCTCACATAGGGCAATTCAAATTGCATATTTTTAAATCAAAAAATGATAGTTTTGAACTAGCGCAATTTGCCTACTGAAACCAGGCATCAGTTGTTCACGTAGTGTCGGCAAATACCCTTTTGTCAGTGGTTCCAGTATTTACTCTGGTAAGAAAATGTTTGCGAATTTCAACGGTACACTACAACTAAGTAAAAATCAATAATTTTTTACTACAAAAAAAGTCATGAGGCACATAATCACTATCCTGGCGTTGCCTATCTGGCCGTTTTCATGTCAATTGTTTTTTCTTCTCTTCTTATCTTCCTACTCTTTGTTATTTCTTCACAATTAAAAGCAACGGCTGCGATCCGAAATCAAAAAGAAATGTCCAGCTTCTATTCACAACCGTTACTCCGAGGGTTTGTTTGCACTCAATTTATACGATTATCTAGTTTCAAGACCGATAGAACTGAAGAATTTATTTTTAATAAATGAATTTATTTAGATAATGGTCTTTATATCACGTTCAAAGCATCTTCTTCATAGTTTAAATGACACCCTCCAGGCCACACATTTTCCCTGGTACCCATAAAAGCTGTGACCCTGTCAAATGTGTATCACATACCATATAGCCTTGTATCATAATGCATATGACACTGAAAACCCAAATACCGTATACCTTTTAGGTACGGGTCAACGTTTCGCAATTTCGGCATTCCTCACCCCAGATAGCAAAAATTGTCTTCTTTCTTTAACTAAAACAAAAATTGACTTTCCATTTTCAAATCTGCGTGATTTGGCACACTCATGATGTCATTATTTTTGATGCTGCAAGTTGGTGGTACGTTGCGGGTGCCTTTTATCCGTATGTGGTGTGTGGTGGTTTGTATCTTTTCATTTAAACAGAAGTTATTCGTAAAACCTATAAGGGATCCCCTAGCCGATTAGATTTTAGGGTCTGCACGATTTAGTTTAGTATCAAAAGCGAATTGTCAAGCTGAAATTCAAATTTCATCCCCACCCGGCTTAATCGCCCGAAAGATAATCGTATGAAAGGATGTGTACAGGTTGGAAAAAATAACAACCTCGTCGACATCTACATATTTGTACGATCTACTGCTGCGAATTTTTTTTCAAAAATGATCAGGATCCTATAATACGTCAACAAACGAGGTTGAACATTTGTTTTTCGTTTTTGGTCTTTTTCTCCGCCGCCACTGGACCGATTTTCAAATACTACAAAGATTTTTCGTCCTTAGCATATAATAGTAAAATCAGAGCGATACTCAGGTTTTAGATGGTTATACGATTAGCGGACAGAGAGACCGACAGACAGACAGACGGAAATGAGTGACATGGTTTTTCATGATCTACAAAACATATAACATCCAAAAAACATAATATCTCATTTTCAAAAATGTTCGCGATTACAATACTTCCCCACCAGTAGGCATGGAAAGTAAAAGGTCCATTATGGCAAGCGTGCATTCAACTTGGTAACTGACAAAATCAATGGCCGGTCTACGCCTTGTGGATAGTGTTAGTGTCTCGTTTCTGTATCTTTAGCATTTAACTCATTTTTTTTGCTAATATGTCTGACTCACCAATAACGACGGCTTCTTGGCTGAGCGGAATCAGTCCTTGTTTGAGCGCCGAGACGGCAACAACAGCCGGCGTTCGGACATGGATGACGCACCGGATATCCGGACGGGCACAGTGGACGGCCGAGTGCAAAGAAAACGCCGACACGTTCACCTGCAAATCATAAATAACAATCATATGCATGCAAATCGCTAAAAACAATTAGCAGAATTCACTATTTTGTCGAAACAATACTCAAAAGGAGCCATGCATGACGCTTTCAAAATATTTTCACAATGAGCTCGTTAAATATTGGCAACCACGCATTTTTTTGGAAAAAAGATTCAAGAAAAGTTTCAGGATATCAAAAAAGCAATTTGTTGATGACCCCAAACACTCTTAGACAATAATCTCAGAGGGTATTTGGAGGTCAAGTTTGTAAATGTAAATAGCAACCACTATTTTTGACCGCAAATTCGTGTCGAGATCGCGCTTCTACAGAGTACATTTTCATACGTGAGGTCAAGCTGACATAAGCGGTTGAATCAGTATGTCCTACTGTAACGTCTGAAAACTACACGAACAGCACGAAAGCTTGACAACCACGATTTTTTTTAAAGGTGCAAAGATGAGTTTTAGGTCATCTATAAAGAAATTTGTTTATGACCTCAAATATGACCTAGACAATAACCTCAGGGGTCATTTAGATGTCAAAATTCTGAACTAAAACATAACTAAATAAGGAGCCATCGTACTCGATCAACACAAACGATTCATAGAGATAAAATATTATTTTCCAAAGCATGAAACAAATATCAATTACGACATAATTACAAAAAAGTCAATTAATACTCAAATTAAACACATGATGAAATTTATAAACTTTACCTCCAAATAACCTATTCTAAAAGTTTTCATAGAACATTTTTTCAAAAAATCAAAAGAAAAAAACGCGTGGTTGCCAAGTTTTTGGGGTGCTCGTGTGATTTTCAGGCGTTACAGTAGGTCATACTAATTGCAGCACTTATGACCGCTTGACCTCATGTATGAAAATGCAGTATGGTGTATGGTAGAATCTCGAACTCGACACGAATCGGCGGTTAAAAATCATGGTTGCTATTTGAATGTACAAACTTGGCCTCCAAATGACCTCTAGGTCATATTTGAGGGCACGGACAGATCGCTTTTTTGATATCCTGGAACTTTTCTTAGAACCTTTTTCCCAAAAGATGAGTGGATGTTAAGTTTTCGGGGTTTGCAGAGCTGACAGTTAAATGACAGAAGTTTGAATTCTTGGTATGGTCGAGCCACCACAATACTAGTGACGTAATCAAAAATCGGTTTCCCTGTAAGTGAGTGTTGACTGGTCCATGGTTCCCGATGTTTCTATAGAGATACTGAAAGGCGTACTTAGATGGTTATGGTAAGATGGTGGAGTTGCAGGTGTGAAGTCTCGCCCCATGTCAAGGTCAATAAAGACGATTATTATTTGTATACGGTTTTTCGGATGAGAGCATCCGCAACAGCGAGTACGTTTAGTAAACATCTGCTTGAGAGACATGAAAAAATGGGTGCCGGTGGGATTCGAACCCGCATATTTACCATTCCACCGAACCAATGCACCTTCAGAGAACAAAAGAATAGTGGCGTGTGTTGGATTGAATTTGCCTCTAACAGCCGATCCTGAAGGTTGGCTGGCAGATGGTGCTGCAGACTATTTGGTTTGGGCTCCACAGAATGGAGGTGATGCGGGTTCGAATCCTGTCGGCGCCTTTTTTCCTATCTTTCAAGTTGTTGTTTACTAAACATACGATTATTATTATTATTAGTTACTAATGAACAATATCCCGTACGCACATTTGTCATGCGTTTCAAAGGTTTATAGACATTCTCCATAAAATGCCTTCACAGATTTGAGAATATCCATTTTGTGAAACACTCAAGCAATGGTTTTAAATACAACTTGCATCCGTTAAATTCAATTGGACTTAGGTGCATTATTAGGCGACAGTCACTGAATTATTAGTCAAAGCGAATTGGAACTATTTCCAATCATTTGCCGTGCCCTACTGAGCGGGGCCGTGGCAAACGCTTGTTCCGGAAGTTGTTGTATCCAGTATACAACTTCTTCCCGTTTCAAGTCCGCTAACGGACCACTTTAGGTCTATTTCATATCATTAACATGCAAAAAGAAGGTGGTAGACAAGGGCCAGTCGACCGAAGCAGTACCGCCCGCTAGCTTTTCCCAGGGTGTCTTATAAATGTCCGCAAATTATTTGATCTGCAAATGACCTTGATGGTCATACTCAAGGTTTCGGACATACTTGAATATAAAGTTTCGTGCTCTTTTTATTTCCGATATCAAAAAGAGAGATTTGCTTTTAAGAAAAATGTCTCGAACCTTCAAACGAGACGATTTATTATAATTATTATTATTGGATGAATCTTTTCTAACCTTACAACTTTATTTAGAACATTTTTCTTTTTTAGATATTTTGTCCATTCTCTACTTTCTGGACATCCTCAAATAGCCATAAATATCACGGTCAAGGTCATGGACAGAAACATACTTTAACGTAAAATTTCCCGCTCTTTACAATTCCGGTGTCAAAAATGGGGATTTAATTTAAGAAAACTACCTTGACATTCAAATGACGTTGAAGATTATAGTCAAGGTCACGTTCAAGATCAACAATAGATAAATCTTTTCAAACATAACCACTTTGTTCTACTTTTTTTTTCTATGAAACGTCCTTTTCTAGATATCTACCCTTACTTTTTGAACGCCCTGAATATTTTCACGGATAAAACCAGGCCTATAACCTTCCACTGGTATCAATTAGTAGGTGTAGCTCCCAGACTGGACTCATATTCACATCTATGTATATACAGGGTATCCTTATGGTTGGGAATTTACCAAGTGTATAGGTCAGGCCATAAAAGCATGTTTTTACATATATACCAAAGCTTCAAGATAATCGTGATACATCATATTAGGTTTCCAAAAAGCAATATATGAATCAGTACGCACCTCCACCCTTCCCTCCTACGTGAAAACATGTGATGTTATACTAAGACTATGTGAGTCAGTATCCAAATCTGACGACGCGTGGTGTTAAGATTAAGATAGTTTATAAACAAACCGTATTTGAAAAACAAATTGACACACATTGGCATCTTCAAAAACCTATTGATCCTCCTCGAGTGTACTCACGTCGCCGTCGTCCCGATGTTTCTTTCCATCAGAGCTGCTTATGTTTGTTTATATCATGCAAAAGCCGCCTGGCTGAACACAAATAAAGGCATAGACAGTCCCAAATTTAGGAAGAGGTAAAAAAACTCGTGTTTTTTAATCGAACAGCAACCACTTCAAGCAGTGTTTACAAACAAAACATGTTACAGGGCAGAGCTTGAAATTCCTCATCAAATGAATAGTGAATATTTTTCTTCAATTTCTTTTTTACGTTTTCGGTATTGTTTTGCCGGAAATTAGCTTTGGTATTGCAAATGTAGCTGACGCTAAAAAGGAAAGTCTCAACTTTCAGAACACCCTGTAGATGTAGAGATACGCGTTAAATTTAAATTTGCCTCTAATTTCAAAATACCACATTTAAAGTTAGTGTACAACATAAATCACAAATCATATTTTCTTGTCTAAGCTTACCGGAAAATTGGTGGTGCCCTGCTCAATAACCTGCCCTCTAGCGTCCACTTTCACCAAACCGCTAGCTGTGACCTCGTGGAATAGTACACCGTACGGATTGACCAGGAACTGTTCCTCGTCCTGGTTAAGACGGGCCGTGATCAAAGTTCCAGGACCGTGAGCCCAGCCTAGCAGGTCGATCAGTCGGAATAGGGAAGCTAACTTACACCTGGAATGCAAGAAGAGCCATTTCAGTTTAAGCACAAAAGTTCATCTTCTGTTCAGAATCTGATACTGATGATATAAACCGAAAATTTAATGTCCGTTTGCACCGGGTTTCTTAAATATACCACTCAGCAATGTGAAGCTTATCTTTAAGGTATACCTTAGATTGAATTTATGTTGCACCGTTGCATCTTGAACGGTGCTTAGCTAGACGAACTATTGATTTGACAAGCATGCATATTTTTAGGGATTTCTACTTTTGAACTAATGAGCAGTGCGCATCAAGTAAACCCCGCTTTTGTGCTGTCATATCAACGTGTCAGAAATCCTAATATACCCTACTTTACGAGTATCCATCACATTTTGACGTCTACTGAGGCGAACAGTTGACCAACAAGTGACATCTTTATATTAGTATCTAACTGTTGGCAACGATAATCGGGTGTAAAAGTAGTAAAACCTGCTTGTTGCGTTTTTTTTTTGTATGAAAATGAACTTTTGTAAATAAAATAGTTGTTAGCAAGTACAAAATGAATTTGTAGCATACAAAAAAACAAAATAATATACGTCTCTGCTTACCTGGCCTAGACGGATCCGTCGGATGATGTGTCATTTGTCGATATGGGGATTTTTGAAATAACACTGAAAAATCAGCTGTCATTCTACCGTAATGGATACTCGTGAAAAATACTATATTTAGCGAGTGTGAAATATTCATTTATCATAGATTTGTGTTTTTCAACAAGAGTTCTGCTGTAAAAAAATTTTTCCTATAAGAAAAATATTTATAGATAAATAGATAAATTGTATCCGAATATAAACATAGAAAACAAGACAACTGATGCCGTCACTTGGAGAGAAAATAACAAAAGCTTCATTACTCCCAAACTAATGGAAGAATCTGTTATCAAAACTATGAAAATAGTCCATTCTTTTATACATTCTTCTCTGAATTCCATAAATAATGAGGTTAATTTTATCTAATTCTTCTAAAACTTCCAGGATACTTTGCTGAAAATCAAAACAAAACTATTTCTCTGTATTTTCAGGTTATGTGCAACTTAAGCTCTACAAATCTTAGGTTTATCTTTTTGAAATTTTAGCTTTACTTAAAGTTACAAATATGTAATAGCGATGCAATAGGAATTTGTGGGATACGGTCCACCTTAGATTAAGCTTCACTGCAAACGGCCATTGTCATTATAAAGTCCACGTTAATCTCAGTAGGTTCAGTCATTTTTGGTCTTAATTTGAAGAAAGACAGAAATATTTGAACACACCCACAATACTTCGCAAAAACAGAAACTACCGAAAGGTAATACCGACAAAGTGCGTTTCAGTAACAAAGTCCGGTGTTGTAAATCGCTTTTTAATACGTTTTCAACCTTGAATTGTTGAAAAAATCGGGCCAGACATTATTGTAAAAACCACAATGTTTTAGTGCGTACCTGATTCACTGTATCGGTATTTTATTTTTAGAATTCAGACATTCGATTATAAGGCAGGTAGGCAACTACATGCTCTATCTACTAATCAATCTGTTCCTAAAACGAATATAATTATAATCTTCTTTTTATGATGGAATCGCGAAACCAAGGAGCCCAGCTTGATTAGAGATCTGCATAAAATCATCACACACAAAATGAGAATGTAAAATATAATGACTGGAACGGTAGAATTAAATAAGCATCAAACATGCAATAAAACGTATTTCTCCATCGCAAAGGACGTTACCGCTCGCATTTCCCGTCGATCGTACATACTTCTCTTACGACAAAGTTCTTTGCGCTCTTGTTTGTTTAAGATTTATTTAGCATGATTGCTACAATTACACTCTTCTAAAAAACTAAACAATTACATAGCATACAGATATTTAGAAAAAAACAAAATTTGCATCTCTAAGAAATGTCACTGTCCAGGGAATAGAATAGACTTTAAATCATTATTTAGTTTATTAAATTCAAGTAATACTTTCTGAAATATTGATTTGCTAGTTGTATTACTATTGCAACTTTGTAAGTGTTAATCGATATTTCCGCTTGTATAATAATTGTGGTAATGATTATTCAATTCTATGTAGTGTTCTAAATGCTGTGGCATAAGATAATTTTTTATTTTAAACATAAAAATGAGAACTAAATATGATATGAAATTTTTTATATTCAGCCACTGCAATTCTTGTAACATAGCTTTTATTTTGGTGTACTTATTTTTATTCAATATTATTCCCATAGCTTTATTTTGCAGTACTTGTAATTTTGATAATACAGCTTCATTGGTAGTGGACAAGATAGTTGAACAATATAGTAAATATGGTAGAATAATAATTGTATTATAAACTATTTTCTTGGAATATGTACCCAGACTATGAGAAGCCCTATAAAAGTAATTTCTTTTTTTTTTGACAATTTTTGGACTAATGTATTCATAGTGATCCTCAAACTTTAGCTTACTATCAATACAATTTTTTTATTGTTTAAACATTTGTAATTATTTCACCATTTATCTTATATAATATTTTCATTTAGATATTTC